AATCCCGACCTTAACCGGATCATAACCCGGATATTGGCTGCATGTAAACGTAGTTGGTGGTGCTCGGTCTTCAGGTAAAACCTCTGCACTACATTTAAATTTAAATCTGCTAAGGGGTACCCTATGATGTTAGCTGGTACCATATGATGTCACAGTGCTGGTGTGAGCCTGTGTGTGTGTATTTGTTAGCGGCTCTGCCCTCTTAGTCACAGGCAACGCCTCCTTGTGGTGCATTTTTCAAACAGGAAATGGGAGTGGAACTAGATTCTGGTAGGGGCTGACTTGCTTTTTAAACATTTTCATTCAACAGGTTTTTAGGAAGACCTAGACACTTATGGTTGAGAACCTGTTTGTCTCCTTCCCAGAGTTTAAGACCCCCACTAGGATCCCCAGATCCAAACCAGCTGCTGGTTCCTGTGGAGAGTCTCCTCAGGACTCGGATGTCTCCCACGACATCATCTGGGATGCCACTTCCCCTCCCTGCAGATTCGGTAAATCAGGTGTGACAGTTTGCTTCTTTACTTGTTTGTTATATATCTTATTCAGTATGGGAGGTGCTTGTGTTGCTTTCAGGTAAAAGAGGGAAAAAGCACCCCGTTGGAATGGTGAACATCTCTGAGATTGTCAGCAGGATTGCTCCGACGGTCAGAAACGTTCTGTTCAGGTCCGATCTGATTCAAGTAGTATGATGGAGTCACTGATTGCTGGTGTCACCCCACCTTCCACAGCATGGCAGGCCACAGGTGGCAGAACCGACCCTACAGCAGTGGATCGGAGACAGCGCCGCCATACCCTGCACTCCAGACCTTCAGGCACACAGACCCAAGAGGAAATCTCCGAGGTGTGTCCAGCTCGGCTCTCTGCTGTGATGTTTGTGGTTCTGTTTCCACTGAAAGGACATATGGCACTTACACGTTATCGTCGGTTGGTTTCACACACACTGGTCAGATTTGCGTTTTTGGTTCCGAGGCGACACTACGGACTGATTGGCTGGCTGAAATTACGCATGCCGCCTCCGATCTGCGAGTAGAATGAGCCAGCGTGAGGGGGTTCCCGCATGAACGATTCATTTTCATGCTGGATGCTGTCTGCAGCACGGAGCTGTCGCTCAGTGGGAATGGGAGAAGTAAGTGTGTGTGTGTGTAACTGTCTTTTGCAGGCAAGCAGACAGCTGCTCAGGGGAAAAAGCAGTGTGTGTGTGTCACAAGATTATGAGGACACACACAGCAAATGAATGAAATAACGTGGTTCAGTCTTCAAAAGCAGCACAGCTCATGCCCACCTTTGTTTACCTTATTATGGAGGACACAGCGGACGTTTCTGTGCGTATGAAACGCCGCCCACAGGCTCGGGGATTTCTGCATTTCTGAGAAGTCCCTCCGATTTTTATGTGAACACTACACCGCCCGTTCAAGACCAAACTCGCGCCATCCAGCCCCGCCGAACCCCGACCGTACCGACACTAATGTGTAAGCGCCAATAGGTGAAACCAAACCAGACTACCAGGACTGGCCCGGGCCTGGGTTAAGGCCTGAGTCCAAGTATTGGACCGGGTCAGAGCCTGAAGTCCAGTTCTGAGTTTCTGAGATCTTCAGGTAAGTTCATCACCTGTTTCCTGTCTTTGTTTCCATGGTAACCAGACAGGGGTAACGGTGTGCCTAAAAGCCTGGTTTGGTTCATTTTCAGTACAATGAGTGTAAACTGGCGCAGCTGTGATGACATTTCGTATAAAAATGAGTCTGCAGTAAATTCTCCAACAAACTTTCAACTTCTTTGAAAACAAAAAATTGTGTAAAATAAGTAAAAAAAAAAAAAAAAAAAAAAACATTTGAAAGGGCCAGCTGGCACGATGAGGCATTTTAGCGATGTTTTACACTAATAACGTTGCCATGGTAATTTTATACCGTTTTTTTTTTAGGAAACTAACAAGAAAACTTCAACTTTCTCAGAAGCAGCTGAAACAACAGGCTGGACCTTTGGTTCCATGCTGTAGTTCTTTTTTAAAGTACAGAGTAGTTTACCTGTTTTCCCGCTACGTTGCGTTTGTTTACCTGTTTTCCCGCTACGTTGCGTTTGTTTACCTGTTTTCCCGCTACGTTGCGTTTGTTTACCTGTTGTCCCGCTACGTTGCGTTTGTTTACCTGTTTTCCCGCTACGTTGCGTTTGTTTACCTGTTTTCCCGCTACGTTGCGTTTGTTTACCTGTTGTCCCGCTACGTTGCGTTTGTTTACCTGTTGTCCCGCTACGTTGCGTTTGTTTACCTGTTTTCCCGCTACGTTGCGTTTGTTTACCTGTTTTCCCGCTACGTTGCGTTTGTTTACCTGTTTTCCCGCTACGTTGCGTTTGTTTACCTGTTTTCCCGCTACGTTGCGTTTGCGGCTGCAGCCGCAAACGCAACGTAGCGGGACAACAGGTAAACTACTCTGTACTTTAAAAAACAACTACAGCATGGAATTAGAGACACGACCCAGCAAGAACACACCTAAGCTGAACCTTTGGTGTTTGGGAATATTTTCTACTTTTAGGGAAATTAACTTTCTGATTTTCATTTATAAGTAAATCAACGTTTATTAGTGATAAACTATAATCGAGTGTCTACTAGTGCTGTAGACACACGTAGTCATGATTTTGTCTTTGCTTTCTGCGGCAGATCGAATGGAGTAGACGACTTGCTGAGACTTGCCAAACAGTTTGACCTGAACCTGTTTCATCGTGATGAAGAGGAGAACGTGGACCCCCTGGAGCTCCGGGCTGAAGACGTCCTGGACCGTTCTGGCTGTTTACCCTCACTTCCTGGGATTGGTGGGCCGGCTGTGACTGGAACATCCATGCTGCTGGAGCAGGATCTGCTTCCGGACGAGGACCTGGACCTGTTCCTTGTGCCGACTCAGCAGGCCAGTGGAATCTGGAATCGGACTCCATCTCAGAGCAGATCCATTTCAGCTGCTCCCACAAAGGATTCTGGGAAAATGTCTGGTTCCACTTCAGCGGTTGATGTGACCGGAACCAGACCCACAGTCCAGGATGACTGGGACGACGACGACTTGTTGAACGATTCACTGGTGGTGGAGATGACGCAGAACCCATTGGCCTTCATTGTCCCAAAGTTCTGCTCAACCCAGAACCCAGAACCCCTGGTGACTCAGAGGCAAACAGCAGCTCCCATTAGTGCTGCAAGCTCCGGATCTTCTGTCAGGGTCCAAATGGACCCGAGGATGGACTGGCAGGTGGACCTTCAGCTGACCGGATTTTCCACTCAGACCGGACTGCACAGAATCGAGAGATCCTGTCCGTCAGATGTTGTGAAACCAGAACCACAGCAGATTGGTCCAAAGGGTTCTGAAAGAAGTTCATCATATGCTCAGATCGGTTCCATCAAGCCAGATGGAACCGATCTGACGGAAGATGACCTGGAGACTTTGTTCTCGTTGGACCCAGTCTGGGACGACCCAGCTGACGACGACCTGCTGTGTGAAATGTGTGAGGACCTGGAGAACCAGCTCCAGAAACTCGATACCAAACCTATTCCTGTTCAGTCCAATCAAAGAGCAGTTCTGCAGCAGACCTACAGAACATGTGAGAACCGGATCCAAACAGACGTTGGTGGCCCCTTGGATCGCCCAGTAACCACGGCAACAGGAAAAGGCCCAGAACTGAGATCAGGTGAGTTCCATTGGGTTCTAACAGGTCCTGTTTATGGCGGACGCTTTTGTCCAGAGCTGCAGCAACGTCCACAGCGTCTGAACGTTTGTTCCCAGCAGCGGGGACAGTTGTAAACAAAACAAGAGCTAGTCTCACCAAAGAGCATGTGGACATGCTCGCATTCCTCCACAGCAACTCGGAGTAGGCAGTGCGGAGGAGTAGTACAGTGTGGAGATGTGGGAGGGGGAAAAATAGAAATATAGACTGTTTTAAACTACACACGCTAACAGAATAACGGTTCCGTTTAATTTTGCAATAACTGGGACTAGGGTTGTCACGGTAACCGGTGTAGCGGTAAACCCCGGTAAAAAAGTTGACAATAATAACCGTCTTGTTTTTTAAAACATATATTATCTTGGTGGATTACCGTGGCTGCGGTGTAGGCGCGGTGACCCTTACCAGCCACCGTATCATCTGCTGATGTTGCCGGTGGCACATGCGCACTTTGTTGTTTACAACCAAAACTTTCTTGAAGCTAAAGCTGAAATAATGGCCAAAGGAGGAGACGGCAGCGCTCAGGACATTTTTTATCCCTCAAAGAAGACAAAGTCGGAAGTACGGGCATGTTTTGGATATCTGAAGAATGCCGAGGGACAGCTGATAGAAGACGGCTATCCTGTTTGCAGCACGTGCAGAAAAAGTGTCTGTGAAAGGCAGCAACGCTTCAAATCTCATGACACATCTGCGTGACCATCACCCACAACTCTACAGTCAACGCAAGGCAAGCTAACGTTAGCGTTTTAGCTAAAATGCGTGATACGAGTATTTGGGTGGAGGGAGAATGCAACGAGTCGCTATATAAAGCAGCCGCAGCGCCGCTACCTGCATATAAACCGTGTCGCGGACACCGCCATGTTGAAATGACGCTATGCATTACGGGGCTCCCAGGGGCAGATAAGAGTTGGTCTCTCTCCGAGAATAATTATGAATTTAACAACGATTACTGCCTGATGACATTTTCCCACATCTGCAAAGCTCACTAGAAGGACACAAACCGAGGACGATATTTTCCTGATATAGGGTTTATTACTCAAGTAAGGGTAAAAAAGTATCTGATTAGAAGGCTACTTGAGTACTGAGTATCATCTGAACTAAAAAATTTTAAAATGATGACATCAAACAGACATAAAATAAGAAGTTATGGGCGAATATTGGTATTTTAAAGACTAAAGGGGAAAAATGTAAACAAATAAACAACATAATTACTAAATAACACATTTTAGGCAAAATTTAGACACAAACTGAGGACAATATTTCCTGATATACAGGGTTTATTTAGTTTCCTGAAAATTTAACATGTTTAAAAAAATACCGCGATAATACCGGAAACCGTGATAATTTTGGTCACAATAACCGTGAGGTTAGATTTTTACACCGTGACAGCCCTAACTGGGACACTGAGGAATGTGTACTGTGCACTGCAGTGTTTTGTTTTGCACTAAAACTTGAGTTAAACTAGAGTTATTGGAACTGTGTTCCAATAATTATACTGCTTTTATTTTGTTTTAAGCAGAAGATGCTTAGCTTTGGAAAACTTGTGTAATAAAGTCATTTATACAATTTTGGGGGTATTTCTTTAGCTGCTTTTACAGGACCAGAGCGTTTGCAAACAGGATTTTCCGCGGCTCCCTGGGGAGGGTAAAGGTCGTTTATAAGAGCAGACCGTGGCGGTAATGTGGCGCAATCGTGGTAATTTTATAAAAGATTAGGTGATGGTGGCATAAAAGGGTATGGGGGCGGTCTCTGCGCTGCTGCAGACTTCCGTTTATCTTGTACATAACTTGCTTTTTATTGCGATTGAAGCCGTGATCGTTAAGTTTTTTTTAACAAGCAGCTCCTGAAGGTGTCTGTCCCCATCGGTCCCTGTGCAGTCTCTGGTGGTCTGAGCTTCAGCTCTAACAGAGAGGCTCGTGGAGCTCCGCGGCGCTCCAGTTTGCCATCTCAGCTGATTTTGTTCAAAAGCAAACCTTATTGCCCGTGTTTACTTTCATTTTCAGTACATTTACCAGCCGGAGCTCAGCAATAACTCCCCACGCCATCATGACATCTGCCTCTGTTGCGCCAGGGCGCATACGACAGACCGTTACCGCAATATTACTACCAAGCCAGGCGGAACGAATGCCGCAAAATTCACGCAACGCCATGCCGGCATGGCGCGTTTATAGACATACCACTGTGGTAATATTACGCCGATTAGCCGGCATGGTGTGTCTTATAAAAGAGGCTTTTTAAATATTTTGGTTTTAATTAATTGTACAGCAAAAAAAAATCATAAGATTAATTATTTAATTAGTCATTAGAATAATCGGCCATTCGATTAAATAATCGCCAGAATAATCGTTTAGAAAATAATCGTTTACCTACAGCCCTACCGCTCACACATGAGGATATAACAGCAGTTACCATGGAACCCATGAGGGCTGGTTCTCGATGCCTGTCAGAGGCTCCCTCCATAGGTAGGTGTGAACGTCAGCCGGCCAGTCAGTCGGTAGTGGGAACACTATTAACCTACCAGGCTAGACCAGGCCAACTCAGATGTGAAACCCCCATTCTTTGACATTATTGTTTTATTTTTTATTGTTTTTATTTTTTCCGGGTCAGGAGACCCATGAGCCACCCGGAAGCGGATGAGACTTAGGCCCTATTAATACAAATGTGATGTCATCGTGAGAGCTAATGATGTCCCTTCCTTGACGGCTGCTCTCGTGGTCTGCCTGTATCTGTTTATTTATTTACATGTGTGTGTGTTCAGCCTTGGTCAGGCTGCACTGTGAAGACACATTTCTATATGCTTCAGGACGCTGACGCACTGGAAGTTTATTCTGATTCCTGTCTCTCCCTTCCAGTGAAATGCTCAGCGGCTGAGATCGAGCTGAAAAAGCAGCAGGCGATGAAGAGGAGACGGCAGCGACTGCAGGCGATGCAGAACTGACCCGAGATCGCCTTTGTGAAGCTGCTGCTGATTGGTTAAGGAGTTTTTGTGGGTTTTAAATAGTTTTCTGCCAAGTCATTGTCTACAGTAGCCTGGAAGGATCAAACCGACAGAACGGACCATAGGACATGTGAGATTAAACTCCCTCTATGGAAAACCAAAAGTGGTCAAATATGATTTTTAGTAAAACGTTTATATTTTTAAATCAGCTGGTTTTTGATCTAAGATGAAAGAATTAATCCTCTGAAGTAACCCAGAGGGATTCTGGTGGTTTTGGTCTGGTTCTTCAGACTGCTGGCTTTTAAAGCCAATCCAGATGTTTGGTGTAGGAGGAGGTTTAATCGACCCAAGTCCAGGATTTCAGACGGGTCTTTAAACGCATCATTATAGATCCAGGCTTTTATAAACCCTTAACCCACAAACTAATACAGTGTTCTGGTTCTGTTTAATGTGGCTCCGCCCACTTCCTCCCAGCTGTTTGTTTTTCTGAACCGGGTCAAAACAAAACGGGTTTTCACTGATTTGATCAAATAAATAAAATTTGTTTAATAAACCACCGTCCCGAGAGTCGTCTGTACCTTCTTTGGTTCTGATGGTTCCTCAGGGTCCATCTTTACCTCAGGTGAAAATGACAAGCAGTCATTAAAAGAAGGGTTCTGTTGAATTGGGTCAGAACCAACTTTAAGATTGTTTTTTTTTTTTTTTTACCTGAAAAATCTACATGAAACCCATTAGAATCCCACCTGGTGGATGTGCCCCTGTGGGTGGATGTGTAGATCTGGTCTGGGACCTCTAACCCCAGCGTGACCTTTGACACAGTGATGAGGCGGACTCATGAAGCTGCTTCAGCACTGATTTATTCACACAAACAACCCGCGCCGTTTCTCACATGAAACAAAACCAGTTTGGCAAAAGGAACAGAGGAAGAGCAGGCTGTGATTCAAAAGCACGAAAAACGGACGTTAACGGCTCCATAGATAAGTCCGCTGATGAAAGTAGTCCCAAACCGCCGCCGCTGAAACAGACTTCAGAGCTCCGGACCTCCGCCAGGTGCTTCAGAACAATTGGAGTGTTTGAAGAACAAAACGAAAGCCCAATGCGATAACCTGAAGTCGGCCAGTCAGAGGATACGGTTCTGTTCCAAAGTCCCAATCCAGTCAAAACTTTATTTAAAATGTAGATGAAGATCCAGTTTTAGCTGTTGTGTTGTCTGTACTCGACTCTGGCACGCCCACTGAGTCAGGAGCCTTTTTCTGCCTGAATGATCCAAAGGTCAGGGTTAGAAAGACTCCTTTGAAGATGTTCAGGTACCTTCAGACACTGAAGAACTATTGATCCGGACCTGTTTAGGTCCAGTCTGGCTACTGGAGTAAAATATTTGAATCTGATCCGGTTCTGGTTCCGGTTCTTCCTAGTCTTCAGCTACACCAGAACAAATCATCATGCAGGGTCTTAAGACTGCTCCTTTAAATCTCACAATCCAAAGACAAGCTGGTGTGACCTCTGATTGGACGACAAACAGGAAGTGAAACTAAACAACTTCTGATGTTTTTACTTAAAGGAAATGTATTGATTAAATTACCCCACCAAAAAAAAAAGATAATTACAAACAGCTGATTTTCTCCCAGTGTTGATAAAACTAGACCATTAGGATCTGAGTGCCCCCTTCATGACCGGAGGTCCTGGTGGTCCTCTGCTCAGCAGTCAGGCGTCCCAACTCAGTTGAACACCTCCTTGTTGATCCACATCAGGGTCCGGGTCTCATTGGGTTTGCACTCGTACTCGATGTTGCTGAACTTGTTGCCGAACTGGCAGTGCTCCCTCTTGTAGTAGTTGTAGTACTTGGCCTGCCAGACCGTCTCGAACGTCCCCGCCTTTTTAAACTGGACAGAGAGACAGAAGACCTCACAAGAACCGGAAAAGCCACACCCCTTCCTGAATGACTCCTGTCCCTGAATAGAGGCCCAGTGCCAACACCTACACTGCACCCTACGAAGTGCACTTGGACTGAGTGCATGTAAGTAAGGCTTTGAGTGTGCACCCGCTTCACATATGGGATGATAACATTCGAAGGGGTGGACAGTGTGTCATCGACTGCAACGTTTGTGCTGCTGGTCTAGAACTTAATCTCTGATCTGGAACTCTCACTTGTAAAAACTGGATTATAAAATACCAGATAGCCTCCGATGTTAGCTTGATTGATTAGCACCTGCTCTCATGATCTCAACTGGTTTGTGTGGAATGGGTCATCATGTGTTTAGAACTGAAGGGTCCTACGGAGGTCCTAACGAACGCCGCTGCTTCTCCATATGTGTTCACATCCACAACCAGTGGTCACATGAGCTCAGAGGGAACCTGTTTGGGTCTCTGGGGGCCACAGACCCCAGGATGGAACCACTGTCGTAGAGTACCTGCCTGTCTCCTGGAATCTCCTCCATGCTCCTCAGTCTCAGCTGGGAGACACAGCAAACCTGGCTCGTATTGATGATTGATGCTGAAGGAGCAGGACTACCTGTGTGACCTTCAGGTATCTTGTCATGCTATCAGCGGGGACACCCTTTCCTATCCTCTCATTGTTGTCCCTTCGGTGAATCTATTGCCTAGCCCAACACTCTGAGGACCAGCTACATCAGCAGATGTCTCCAGCAGGGTTTGGGATGGTGACACCCCCCCCGTAGACACCCCAGTTCGTGTCTCACCTCGATGCTGACTTGGACCGGTTGGCGGTCTCCGCTCTTCGTATGTGGGACGCCCTCTGTGTCGTACAGGCCGTGGTAGACCACCGAGTCCTCGTCCCGGGTCTGCTGCTCCAGAGGGAAGACGATTCCTCCGATGTTCATGTTGCTGAGGGAAAAGAACAGGAAACTCATCCCAAACACAAGACACGGGATCAGATCCGCTTAAACATCTCAGCATCCAACTCATCATGGTTATATGTTGTGATGGTGTTGCTTGGCAACAAATAAAATCATTAACATCTAAGGAAACTAATCAGAACACCATTACAACAAAGACATTAGGTCTAGCTAACATTTTCTGTTGTAACTAATAAACGCTCCTTTCTGCCAGCTGGGCTCTTTGGAATCAGACGCATTCCAGTTTCCAAACGGGTGTTAAAGAGGGCTGCATTCCATTTCTGTTGCTGGGAATGCTGCGTGGAACACATCGTTTATTAAACAGACTAATAATATTTGCAGGTTTTGTTTCTGGTGGAGCGGGATCAGACCGAACCGAACCACCAGAACGTTCCACCTGAGCCTGCATGTTTTATGCAGTGGGTGTCGGATGCTGCAGCCGCAGGAGGCCGCGGAGGCCCTGCTGCATCTCACCTCCACCGTACAGTTCCGACCCCTACAACAGATCATCTTACGTGGACTCGACGGTTCCAGGCTTCACCACCACCTCGATCTTATATTTGGATCCCGTCAGGAGCTTGATGGTTCGGTTCTGGCCGAACCGGGTTCCGTCCACCTTGAAGAAAACCGGTCCGTCGTTCGGCTGGATCCGAAGCGCCACCGCGATGTTGATGATCGGAGGGACGTCGTCCATGATCCGGGATGCTGCTCTCAGTCACTACACCTGGAGGTCCGAGCTGGAGGAGGACGGGCTGGTGCTGAGGCTGCACCGGAAACTGTATCCGGTCAGGCTTTTCACAATAAAAGCCAAATCTAGGATCAGCGTTATCTGTGATCCAACATACGAAAGGATCTTAGACACTATTTTTGGGAGACCAATGACCTCCAACCAGTCAGGAGTTCCTGAAAAGGTTTTTGGTTCCAAATTATTTCAGTTTATTTACAGTAAAACTGGTTTGTTTTCAGAGGCTTTTAGAAATTAAATTAGTGGGAGGAATTAAAATGGAAATAAACAAAGAGGAGAATGATAATGGGGATGTAAATCCAACCATTGTTTGGGATGCAACGAAAGCAGTTATGCGAGGAAACCTCATTTCAAGATCTGCATATTATAAGAAAGAAAGGCAACAAAATTACAAGAGACGGATAGAGGAACTCAAGAACCTGAACAAAAACACAAAGGTACAAACGATCCAGGTTTAATAGAACAAATGAAGGAGGTAAGGAAATTAATAAACGAAATTTTAGAATGTGAATTAGAAAAAAAAGCCAGATTTTGAAACAAGCCTATTATGAATCAGGTCCCAAAGCAACTAAACTCTTAACAAGTAGAGGAAACAAGTAATAAACACTATACACAAAATTAAAGATCCCACAAATAATAAAACAGAAACAGATAAAACTGAAAGAATCTTTAAAAATTACTAGTATGAAGAGCTCTGTACCTAAATCAGCAGATGAACAAACACTAAGAAACATTTTGAACTAGATCTCCCCACAATAGGAGAAGAACAAAATAAATATATCAATACGCCTATCACAATACCATAAATAAGCTAAAACCAAATACAACACCTGGGAGCGATGGCTTTCCAGACGAATGTTATAAATTTTTTAAAACCGAATTATTACCAATGTTATTGTCATCACTTAATGAAACCCTAAAAAGCGGAAAGGTCCCCCCCTCCTGGAGAGAAGCAATGTTACAGTGACACCAAAAGCAGGGAAAAATAAAGAGGAGTGCAAAAATTATGGACCAATTTCTATCCTAAACTGGGACTACAAAATCTATACCTCTATCCTAGCACTAAGGTTTGACCTTTTTGTGTCAGACATAACAGATGAAGACAATGCGGGTTCATGAAGGGCAGGCAAACATCAGATAACATCCGCAGGACTATTCATTTAATTGAAGAAATTCAAAAACAAGAAGAAAATGCGCTGCTGCTCAGCTTAGATGTTGACAATGCACTCGACAGCATTATTTTGAGATATCTGTACCTCACATTAGAGAGATTCGGCTTAAAGTCAAGTTCAATAAATGTAATTAAGGCACTTTATCAAAATCTGATAGCAGGAGTAAAAGTAAATGGCAACCTCACAGAATGGTTTAAACTGGAAAAGGTCCACCAGATAAGGATGTTGTTTGTCACCCAGAGCCATTAGCTCAAGCAACACGGGAAGACGAAGACATAGCAGAGCTGCCATCTCTCACCTCCAAACACACCCACATCACCCCGCTTCTCCTCCAGCTTCACTGGCTGCCAGTCAACTTCAGGGTTCATTTCAAGATCCTGGTTCTGGTCTATAGGGCCTTACATGGACAAGCACCATCTTACATTGGTGATCTTCTTAGTCCCTACACCCCCAGCAGGTCCCTGAGGTCCAGTGATCAAAGCCTACTGGTTGTGCAGCACCAGGCTAAAGGTCAAAGGTGACAGATCATCTGCTGCTGTGGCCCCCAGACTCTGGACCTCTCTCCCCCTGAGCCTGAGATCAGTGGACTCAGTGGTCTCCTTTAAAAAGCAGCTGAAGACTCACTTGTTCAAGCTGGCTTTTGTATGACCTTCTTCACCTCTCTCTCTTTATTCTGCTCTCCCCACCTATTCCACCTTCCTCAGGATCCACTGATTTCCCTCTTTCCTGTTCACTCTCTCTCTTTCTTAACATTTTTTTAGTCACAATTGTCTATTTTTGCTCATTTTAAATATATTTTTAAACATTTTCTAAATTCTTTTTTATATTTTTTGTTTTTGTGAGGTGCCTCGTGATTTTTATCTCGAGAGGCGCTTTAGAAATGATATCTTCTTCTTCTTCACGCACTTAGTTTTTGTCTGACTTCAAACAGCTAGCTTACATCTCTTATTAACGACGTCTAGTATATGGCCGCCTCGCCTCTGCAGTGTGCCTCAGGGCAGCTGTAGACACACTGTAGCTCATCACCTCCAGTGTGTGAATGGGTGAATGACAGATCGTGTTTAAAAAACACCTTGGGGTGTTTTAGGACCCTGAGGGCTACATCAAATCCATGCCACTTACCATTGGCGTCTGATTGGTCCACAGTGGAGCAACAGTTAACATGATTGGAGGTTCAGTTTTTTTCATTTTGAACTTTCTATCAACCTTTGTGTCTATCCAAAAATAAGTATTTCCAACTATGTCTTGCTATTGTTTTATCACCCAGCCCTAATTTGGATAATCACTGTTAGAAACAAGTCCTCATCTCCAGCTGAAGCCATCGGCTCCATTAATCCCAGATCTTCTGGTTAGTAAAGAGCAGTTTCCCGTTGACCAGTGGGCACACACATTCCAGCAGATTTCTACAAACGGGGTTTTAATTACAGCGGTTTTCACAGTCCATATAAAAGCTTTTAAAACAATATGTACATTTGTTGAAATAAAAAAATAAAATAAGATATATTAGAGTTCTAATCTGAGCCTAGAAGTGCTTCAGGTGCTCCGGTTTCACCTGTTGAGCTCGGCCTGAAGGATCTCTCCCCACGTCTCTGCATCAAACGGTACCATTTTCCTCCCCAGCAGCTCGTCGGCTGAGCTCACGCTGCTGTATCGGCCTCTCAGCCAGTCTCTCTTCGCACAGCTCCGGGTGTAGTTTCTCACCAGAGTTACCTGAGACAAGAGGCGGGACAGAAAACACCTGGTAAGTGTTGGTACCGTGATCTGGGTCTGGGTCTACAGCGGCAACACTGAACAGGAACCTCTCAGCTGATCAGCAGCAGAGATGTTTAGTTTGGATATGAGGGAGGGCGAGGAGACCAACCTTCCAGGAGAAGCCGTCCCCCCGGTCTTTGTCCACCTCCCTCTGACAGACCGCCCGCACCAGCAGACACTGCCGCCTCCACAGCTGCTCGCTCTGCTCGATGATGTCCCGCCACAGTCTGCAGGTCCGTGAGGCGCTGCAGAGGCTCTCTGCATCCAGCTCTCCGAAGATCCTCACGCTCATCTCCATCGGCAATGTTTCAGCAAAGTTCTGAGAGTCGTCAAAGGCTTTCGGGGAGGCTCTTCGTCCACAGAGCAGGGACACGGACGACCTCCTGGCAGGGTCATGCTGCATATTACTGCAATAGTCCAGAGCAGCAGCAGCAGCAGCAGCAGCAGCAGCAGCAGCAGCGGCAGCAGCAGCAACGCACGAGAAGTTCTCTCTGAAACAAAACCAGAAACAAGTTCAGAACCCATTAGGAATAACAGTCCCAGTCCCACCAGGACATTTAATCAGCTGTTTTCCAATTCAATAACAAATAAAACAGGTTTAGTTTCTGACATTTTAAATTTATGTTTGATGAATTTTACCAAATTAATAAAATTTTATTTAAACAGTTTTCAGTTATTTTTATGTTTTCACATAAAATTTAATGTTTTTTCTTCCCCTCTAATTAAAATCCTCTCTTTTGTCTATATCTTCTTACAGTTTTGACTAAAAATCCTGAATTAAGACAAAACTAAAGTTTAGTTTCGGTTCCAGGAACTTTGAGGAAGCGGTTCCATTTTCCTGAGTGGACCTCAGTCCAGTCCTTCTCCTAGAACCGGAACATCCTCACCAGAAGCAGAATACTTCATTCATACACGCACTACTTGAGGCTGCATGGTGACGCAGTGGTTAGCACTGTTGCCTCGCAGCACAAAGGTCACAGGGTCGAAACGCGGCTGCAGCCTTTCTGCGTGGAGTTGCGTGTTCTCCCCATGCATGCGTGGGTTTCCTCCGGGTACACACATCACAACACGCCCTACAGGTTATAAATTGTAAGACGCTTTGGATAAAACACAACATACTACTTACTTCTACACGTGATAATAATCTGAATCTGACCCAGACTGCCAAATCATTCTTGAACAGAACACCGATTTGAGTCGCATTAGCCTGTGATAAATAACCAAAAATCACCGCTAAACACGAACTCAACACAGAACCGGAGCTCGTTGCATGGAGCAGGCCAGTAAACACGCTTGAGTTCGGGTTTGAGAGTTTGAGAGACTGGTTTAATCAGAGGCTCTTACCTGCGGCAGATGTCTGACAGCTGGTGTTGCGACAATCCGTGCTCCCCGTCGTAATGCTACTTTGGGGAAATGCGCATGCGCCTATTGCGTCACAGGCTGTTTACAAGTCGAGACCGCTACCTGTGGAAGTTTGCGTTTAATCTCGTCACTTATCTAGTTACTTTCAACTCTTCGAAGGTCACAGTAAGTATTTCTTACTTTGTTTTGTTAAATTACTGTTTGCTGTATGTTTACCTGACAGTTTGCTTGTAAATGCCTTCTAAAATGTCGTTATTATACTGTAAACAAGAAATTTCTCCCATTGTTTACAGTCATTCTGAAAGAGTCCCAAATTAACATCCAAAAGTTTTATATTCTACTGTTAGCAGAGTCATCAATCGTGCTGATGGAGGAAATACAGCCTCATCACTGCTTAGCTTCTCAATCAGGGAACACCGGTTTCTTCTGTCACGTCATCTCTTATGCGTCACTGACAGCGATCTCATTGGTTGAATTAAACCACATGACATTAGTTAACAAAAGATAACCCATAAGTATTTACAATATAAGCATACAAAGATAAAGGTATACATACAGAGATAAAACAAATGAGAACACAAACATAATAATGTAATATAAATCAATATTAAATCATGATCTTTTGCAGATCTCAGTTCTTAACATATACATATAATAAATTTATCATAGTTGCATAATAATCTCCAAAATTATACATTCAAACAAATAACTGACTATTGGGGGAAAAGCATGTTTGTTCTATGTAGATTAATTTGTCTAATAAAGGAAATACAAATCTCCATTTTTATGAATACTTTCGACATGGGTGAAAGTTGGTAAATCGTCATTGTTCTGAGAATATTCAAATATTTTAGCAACTAAGGGGTTAATTTTTACGAAATGACTAAACTGCTTCTTACACTATCCACCTTTTTTTCATAAAATAAATTAACAGTAGCTACCGATTTTCAGTAAACCTGGACAGACTGAATCAGCTGTTGAAATGCGCGTTGGTAGGAAAATTCGACGAGGAAGCACGGATGTTTTTTTAACAGGTTTTATTAACTTGTTGTCGATACATTCAGAAAATACATTCAATATATCCATGGATCACATTTTACAGTTGTTTACAACTGCAATAACACACATGCAACATTAGGAAACCATTAAACAAACAAACAAGAAATAAACAAAGAACTGACGAAAACATATATAACTTAAAAACATAACACTTAGGGGTCTGCTGTGTCTAAGTTGAAATGATGAAATAAGTTGATGATCTTTGTTAGTTTGTTGTTCTTCTTTTTTAATTTTTCAATGCTGTTCCAATATTTCATAAGGTCTGTAATTCTTAAATTATAGATGGAGGGGATACTGTTCTGAAAATTTTTTATGTAAATAATATTTTGCTAAAATAATGATTAAGTTAATTATGTATTTTTCATTGGATGATAAATGAGGGTTAGTAACAATAAGAAGTATTTCATACATAGAAATATTTTTTGTAAGTTTTTGGAAATGTATCTTTGTAAATGGAACCAAAACAAAGTTACATGAAAGCAATCAACAAAAACATGGATAGAAGGTCCCAACGGTCGTTTGTACGGTTTGTACACACGTGACGTCATCACGTTTCGAGTAACTTGCGTATGCGTAGAATGCTCCTAGCTCCTACGTATGTGAATTTTGGAAGAAAAAAAACATTACATTTCGTTAAAAATATAAGTATAAATTACATAACCGAATTAAAACAAGTCAAAAACACAAATGATGCTAGCCGAGTTGTCAGAAGACTCACCCTCATTCATTTCCTTTCTAGTTTTTTTTCTTTCAAGTCTCCACTGGACTCCATTTAGAAATTAGCCCATTTTACAAAGATTCTAACAAATAGGAAATGATTACAGCAAACGTCACGAGTCAGTTTATTTCTCGAATTTCTCGTAATCAGGCTTTAGCTCGGTTACATGTAGCCTTCTATTTTGTTGTTTCATAAAACCACTAAAGGACAGAAGCAGAACCCTTATTTTTGAATCTGGAATTTACAAAAACAGAATTGAATATAATTATCTATTTCTGTGTAAAATGTGATGGTTAAAAACATAGACTGTACATACGGTTAAAAATAATGTGACGTTGAACGTAGTTTGGCTAATTTCCAAACTGCGCATGCTCAGGTTCATCCCGGAAGTTTTGAATCTGCAGCAGACAGTAGAGCCAGCGGCCCGTCCGCCCAAAGGAGAGCTCAGACATTAGGTCTGGATCATTTCTCTTAATCTTTCAGGTCCCGTTTTAACCTCGTTAATCCTCGTGTTCTGTCCCACCACAGTTGGACCGGAACCGTCGACGGACCGGAGGATTCTCCGGTCCCGTCTCCTCGCCACATGTCCGGATTCGAACTCGTCCCGGTTGAAGGCGGAGATCCAGTACACCTTTTGCCGGGTGAGACTGTGTTAGGCCGGGGTCCGTTACTGGGCGTGAGTACTCCAGTCTTTAGTCTGGCCGAGCCGGTTCTGATCCGTGTACCGATCCCTTCTTTGGGTTTTACAAGTCTGACCCATCCTGTTCTGCTGTTTCTCAGATCAGTGATACCAGAGTGTCGCGGAACCACGGGCTCCTGGAGAACCGGAACGGACTCAGACTCAAACCGGTACCTTTGGGTTTCTGCTAGTTTAGTTTATTTTTTTCCAGCATTGCCACCTTGCGTTATTCTTCTGGCCAGTTTTACACACCCTGCTTCACTGCTGTATGACCTTTAGACCCACCTGAACCCGTGTTTCGTTCAGTCCTCGCTGGATGATGACCCTCGACCTCTGCAGAGAGGCTCCTGGCACCAGCTGCATCATGGAGACCTGTTCTCTCTGCTGCCGGGTCGACTGATCTTCAGGGTGGAGGCTGTTGAAGAGGAGCACACGCCCAGGTACTCCTGCTTGCTTTGAGGCTGATTTCAGATCAGGTGGAGCTTCACTCAGCTCTCACTACCGAAACATCCCTGTCCTCCACAGGAACAGTCAGAACTATGAAGATGAAGCTACCAGACCAGATGTGGAATCTTCTCCAGGTGTTGAACCGGAACAGAATCGAGCTTCACCTCAGCCAGCAGCTCAGAACGGGGGCGGGTCCAACCGTCTCAGCGTGAGACCGGTAAGATGAAAGGCCTTAAAATGCTGATCTGGTTTCTGGTTGTAGCCCGGAGATCTTTGATGGAGATGATAAATAAAGACACAGGAAACGGGAGTCACGTGATCATATGGAGTAAGCAGGCTCCGCCTCCACAGCAGAGTCATTTTCATTAATCACCAAAGCTTTTAGATTAAATTATTTATTCACTGAAAAAAAAGCTTAACAATTTATTTGATGATTATTTTTGGATTTGTTTCAGTAGATTTTTAGTTTTAATTCGCTGATGTTTTCCTCTTTAGGACAAACCGACCCAACAGGTGGCCGGAGCTCTGGAGGCTCCGTCTGCTCCCAGGAGGAGGGTTCTACCAGCATGGATGTCTGCAGCTGTCTCAGCCGGGAGTCTGTCCTCAGGTCTGAAAGGTTCAAGAGGGTTCTGATGTTCGAGGGTTCTATGGACAGTCTCAGTTAGAGAAACCAGGTCATGCAGAGGTCAGGGGTCAGAGGAGGTCAGGCTCAGCTCAGAGACAAACTTCGAGGTGGACGTTAAAGTTCTGATTTGAGTTCAGTGTTTGATCAAAAGCTGTTTCTGGGGTGATTTGTGGTTTCTTTCTTTGCTTGTTTAGTTCCGTCGCCTGTGAAGAAAAACAAACAAGCTGCTGCGCCGGCCACGCCCACTGTCACATCCTTACCAGATGGGGCGGAGCTCAGTGATGAGGAGGAGGAGGAGGAGCCAAGAAAAAGAAGAAAGATGAGCAAAGATGAAAAACATCAATCTGAAACAGTTGAGTTCTTCTGCTTAGAGATCTGGACCAGAACCTCCGGTCTGGAACGGGGGTTCTGGTTTGGGTTTCATGCTCAGTGTAAATCAAACCCAGCAGGACTTCTTCTCTTTCTGGAAGGGTTCCACCTCTCATCCTAAAGGATCTGAAATGTTCTGGAATATTAAGGCTCGGAAGAGATCTGAGCTCCCCCTGAATTCCGTACCCGTGTAGAACATCACGTTTTCTCTGCGTGTTTTTCTGTCCTCTGGTTGGTTTAAACGTCCTTTTGGTCTCCTGGATGATTGAAGGATCATCTCTTGTGTTCCCTTCTCCCATCATGAGGACCTTTCGAGCTCCATGAGGTCTGGTGAAGGTCTGTGGTCCTCTTGGTGGTGAGATTCACATAGAAGATCCTGGTCTTGAGACCCCGACCCTGAAGGCTTCCACCTCTCAGAATCTAGACCACATTGTCCACGTCTCTGGGCTTGATGTATCTGGTGTCCTACCTGGTTAATTTGATATCCACCAAGTTAAGGAGCCCAGAAGCTTCCATTTCTTCAGCTTGAACTTTGACCCTGGAGTCCACCTATCAGAACCAGTGGCTTGCTGTCATTCCCTCTTAGGAGTCCAGTTCTGTTCGTTCCATCTCCTCCACACAACATCTCTACAGAAGGTGAAGCTGGAGATCTTTGTGTGCTTCTCTTGGTAGAAGTGGTCTTTTTATCTGAAACATGTTGTGGAGATGATGATCCAGCAGGGTCCCGATCTGGTCTGGAGTCCAGATGGAGATGTTTGCTGGTGGTTTCCACCGTGTCTGATATGGAGATGGAGGTGAAAAGCATGATGGGACCTTTTGGATGAGAGGTGAAACATCTTCATGCAACGGTGGACTTGTTTTACTCTTGACTGAGTTGTTGTTCCTCCATCTGGTCTCTACGGAACCAAACCAAATCCTGTTAGCTTTGTTCTCAGGTTCTTCTGGGGCTCAGACTCAGACGTGTCCTCTGGTTTCCAGGGTGATCCTGCTGAGTCCTCAGTCAGATTTGAGCCGAAACCCAGCAGGTTAAAGGTCACCGACAAGGCAGCAGGACACTCTGCATCTGAGCAGGAGGACAAAGAGAAGTCTAGACCTCAGGTCAGAACTCCGTGTCCGTATGGGAAGGACTGCTACAGGTATGCTCACCTGGGCTGAGGAGGACTTGGAAGATCCAGAAATCCATCTTCATTCCTCACCTTTTGCTCTTTCAGGAAGAACCCAGTCCATTTCCAGGAATGTAGTCACCCCGGTGACCCAGACTACGAGGAGGAGGACCGACCCGAGTGCCCGTACGGTACCGACTGTTACAGGTTAGACACGCTAGATCTGAGCCGTTTGGTTTCAGGAACATGAGCGTGAACGTTCATGTCCTCGGTTTCTGCTGACTCATCTCGTCTAATCATCGTCTGCAGGAAAAATCCTCTTCACCTGCAGCAGTTCAGCCACACAAAGAAACCCGGTAGGTTTGATCCTTTCACAGGTTGAGTCCTGGTGGGTGGAGACTAGTGAGCGACTCAGATGATGCAGGTTTCTGGTTGGAATCAGACTCTGTAATTAAGACATTTTCAGCAAATGCCGAAATGAAAAATTGTCACATTTGTGAAAATTGTTTTGTTACTATTTTGTCAGAAAAAGGACCCGAGACTCACTCGAGAACCCTCGCAAACGTTTGGAGACATTTTAGAAAGTTCATCATAAGTTTATCGAGTTTGTCTCCAGCAGGGTCAAAACAAAGACCTCAGGGACGGGGGGTCATTTCAATCAATCAATCAAATTTTATTTGTAGAGCACCTTCTACAACGTTATCGGAAGCCCAAGGTGCTGAACAACATCATTATAAGAAAAACATTCCCAGTACATGGGCATAAAAGCAGGATAAAAACATAAAATCATAAAATATCAAGCAAACAATATTACAGATAAAGAGAGATAACGGAATAAGACTAATCGATAAAAAACAAATGGTGGACAAAATAAAATCAAGCATCTGGGTTAAAAAGAAGAATAGTTAAAACCATAATGTCAGGGCAATTCAAATGACCCTAGCGCTGAAACACAATCAGATAAAAATGAGTCATTAAACAAGACTTAAAGACTTGAAGGGATGGTGCCTGCCTAATGCTCAGTGGCAATTCGTTCCACAGAGTTGGAGCCAAAACAGAAAAAGCACGACAACCCCTCGATCGATATTTCGACCGGGGGACCACCAGAAGTTCCTGCTCGGCTGAGCGAAGAGACCGAGATGGAGCATACCTGTTCAAAAGCGCAGTAATGTACGAGGGGGCACTGCCCTGGAGGGCCTTATAAACGAGAGTTAAGATTTTAAACTTAGCTCGATATTTTACCGGGAGCCAGTGCAGAGCAGTCAGCACTGGGGTAATGTGCTCTCGACATCTAGTGCCTGTCAGGAACCTAACATTTCATGTTAGAAGCTTTTCGGAGGCTGGGTCATAAACAGGAAGCAGTTGTTTTTCGTCTTCGTCTCTGCAGTTCGATCCACTCGGAACGTCACCAAACTTCCCCTTGATGAAGACGAGGAAGACTCCGGAGGGGACGACAGCTTTATTAATGACGACAGCGAGGACGTTGGTGACGACTCAGACTTTGTCCCGCCGGACTCAGACGACAGTGAGCAGGAGGACGTCCAGAGCCTGCAGAAAGAAGCCAAGGCCTTCCTGAAGAAGAGGAAGTAGGATGCACCTTTGGTCCTGATAGGCTGGGCCGCCCTAACCCCATCCTGCTGATGGTAGACGTCTCCTGCTTCAACACCAGAGCTGGATGTAGAAACCAGAACAGGATGAACATGTAAAACACACTGGACTCTCAGGACTGAAGGAGACAAAGCCACGGGTTTGAGGTTTTTAGGAGGTGATCAGGATTTACTCCTCTTCCTCCTGCTGCTGTAAATAAATGTTTTATTTTCTAGTTGAAATCCATCCAAAACATCTGCTGCTGGAGGAGAACTCAGTTCTGTCACGTTTTGGTTTTAAGGAGTTTTTTGCCAACATTGTTTTTTATTGGGTTAGTAGAACAACAAAACAAAATAAACAAATCAAACATGAAATCTGACATTGTTCCATACAAGGACTATTACTCTAATAGTAATAGTAATAGTAATGACGGAATCTAATTCAGGTCAGGTTTATTTTACTTGATACCAGACGAGATTATCCTGTTAGTAGGGATGTGAATCTTGGAGCAAGTCATGATTTGATTCGATTCCGATTCTTGGGGTGCCGATTCGATTCAGAATCGATTCTCAATTTAAATCGATTCACAATCAGTATTAAAGGGACTTTAAGGAGTTTTGAATTTTTATGCTCGCGATCGCCCCCTCAGGCCAAAAGCGTAACGGCAGCTTCAATAGTAGGCTCGTGCACGAGGTGCGCATGCTGTACGTGCACACTCCTTAACGAAAATAACAGCAGAGACAGTCAGCTCCGTGTGTGTGTGTGTGTGTGTGTGTGTGGCCCGGAGGACAGAGGACAGGAAAACGCGCAGTGAAATGAATTAAATAATGTGGTTCTGTACCTTTTTCTTCAGCACAGCCGACAAAGGTTTATGATGGGTCAGTCCTCCTGCATGCTCAGATCATTCCCTTCCCTTGCTTGAAAAATTGTTCCAAAATGAAAGTTGAACCCACATCTTTTTTATCTGTGAATTCAATGCCGTTCAGCAAGTCTCAAATAAAAATTTGGGCATCTTACTGTAAAAAAATATACCATTAATGTAAAAAAGAAACTCTAAATGAACTATGTTCACACCCAGAATCAAACCCAGGTCTTCTGCATGAGAGTCGGACATGTTACTAGGTGAGCTAAAGCACCAGTGACATCATGTGTATCTGTAACATTTATATCCTTGATGACAGCTGAAACAACGTCAAACCAAAGAACGGTTCGGAGTGAAAATGGCTATTTTGTTGCTAATTAGCAGGAAATATCTAGAAGAAAGTTCTACAGAAAGTAGCTAAGGGTCCTCAGAAATGTAGCTAGCTTTGTCACTAGGCGTTAGGAACAGCGACAAAGTGGCACTGCCTCTCTCTCTGCTGCTAAAGCTACGGATAGCAAATGCTACGGGCGATGCCTGAGCGTGAACGCGCATGAAGCAGCCTGCTCGACCCGAGCATCTCTCTTTTTCTGTCATTTTACAGAAAAACAGGCAATCACAGTAAAAATGCCAGGGCTCATTCTACAGGACCAGGGCGTTGCAGGAGAATGTATGAAGAAGACATTTATTATTTCTATACATGTTTTGGCTGTCAAACTTCCATAATGTCCCTTCAACAAAGAGTGTCAGCTCCAGGATGAACTACTTTGTTGTACAAGTTAGTTAAAGCTATGGGACATTTTTATTGAACTTTAAACTGGTCATGCTCCAAAATGCTAATTTACAAGGTAAACTAAAGTGATTCTAAAACTGTAAACAGAAACAATCTTTTGACCAAAAGGCAACATTTATTTTTGCTTACCTTGTAAAATATAACACATCTGTAGTTACCCAACAGTAGCTTTGAAAGTAATACGGTCAAATACTTTTCAAGTATGTGTAGAAACAAGCTACACGAGTAATCCTGAGTACTCATTTAGCAACTTAGAAAATAAATATGAGAATATCTCAAATTTCTGAGTATGGAAAAAATTACATTCTAGTGCCCTCTTATCAGCAGATTCAAACAAATCATCTCAATTTATGGGACCACAAAAGTAATCGGAGTACTGCCTCTCCTAACAAAGATCAAAAAAGTGCATCTCAGACCTGTAACGTGCCAAATATTTGAGTCCTTGGAATCGATTCTGAACCGTTGTGAATCGATTCTGAATCTTTATAAATAAGAATCCCGATTCAGACTTGAATCGATTTTTTCTGCACCTCTACCTGTTAGATTTACTGATGAAATAATAAAGAACCTCCTCAAAAATGTGCATGAGTGGTTGTAAAAACCATTTTCTCACTAATCAGATGGGAAAAACATTTGAACTTCAGATTAATTCACTTTAAAGTTGTCCTGAAAATAGATTTTCTTTTCTTTTACACTTGAAAACTGCTCTATTTATCATAAAACAATGTTGGGGCTCAAAATGGCCCAGGAGCCCTGATAAATGGCCAAATACAATCCCATATGAGAATGGGCTGACCAATGTCTGAGGATGCAGGAGTGTGGACAAACAAGGAATCATGCAGGCTGTGGAGCCGGGGTTTACGGATGAACAAGGACAAGTAGATGAGGCCTCCTGATGCGTTTTGGCAACTTACCCAAAATGCATCATCACTGTCTCACTGATTTGGTCTACTGACACCTGCTGATTATGAACATCACTGCAAGCAAACCTCCACTCTACACTGAATTAGCTCCAAAAGATGTGCTTGTGGCAGAAACTCATCCCGTTGACAGAGGGAGACGCTCCCTTGTTTGTTGACAGGTGAATAGGGTTGTCACGGTAACCGGTATAGCGGTAAACCCCGGTAAAAAAGTTGACAATAAAAATAACCGTCCAGCTTTTAAAAAACAAAATTATCTCGGTGGGTTTACCGTGGCCGCGGTTTTGGCGCGGTGACCCTTACCAGCCACCGTCGCTTCAGCTGAAGTTCCCGCGGCGTGCACACGCACTTTTAGTTTGCAACGGCACCAAAACTTTGAAGCTGAAATAATGGCCGAAGGAGGAGACGGCAGCGCCCAGGACATCCATCAGCCCTCAAAGAAGACTAAATCGGAAGTATGGGCATATTTTGGATTTCTGAAAAATCCTGAGGGACAGTTAATAGAAGACGGCTATCCCGTTTGCAGAACGTGCAGGAAACAAGTGTCTGCAGAAGGCAGCAACACTTCGAATCTAATGGCACATCTGCGTGACCATCACCCACGTCTCTACAGCCAGTGCAAGGTAAGTTAACATTAGCATTTTAGCTTAAATGCATGACGTGAGGACTTTTGGTTTAGGGAGAATGCAACGAGTCACTATATACTGCAGCCGCAGCGTCCTCTGGCAGCATTTAAACCGTGTCACGGACACCCTGTTGCTGGATGAAGCATCTTATTTGTTGATGATGAAGAGAAATATACAATTAGTTCCTTGTCATTGATTTGTTTACTTATTCAATGCCATTTATACTTGAACATTTGGATTTGATTACATAGTGTAGTAGTTATTTTAGTCATTTGTTTAAAGTGGCTATTTATTTTAAATACATTTTTTTTAAGGTTGACTTGTACAGCGCTCAAGTCAAGTGTGGACTGGAGTTTTAGATTTTCATTTTGATAATGAAGAAAACAAGTATATGAGAAAACAAGTGGTGTTTCTTTGATTTGTTTACATATTGTTTATGTTTTGAATGTTTGGATTTGTATAATTTAAACCTGCACTGACTACTGTAACATGTTCCAGAAAAAGAAGCTATTTGTTCCTTTACTTGTGAAAAGTTGCACTTTTGCTAAGGCTTTGTGTTATTTTAGGTTTAATAAACACTGTTAAACTATTTCAGTTTGTGTAGAACAGGACTATCAATGGTTTCTGAACATATGCAACACCGTTTAAAAAATACCGCGATAATACCGAAAACCGTGATAATTTTGGTCACAATAACCGTGAGGTTACATTTTCATACCGTGACAACCCTACAGGTGAAACAACAGCTGTGTGGGACGCGGGACTACTTCCTAAACAACACGCACGCTGCTCTATGAGCCAGATCCACACGCCGGTGCATCAGTGTTGCTGAACGCGTCACTAGTACCTGGCATTCTTTGAATGTCTGGATATTCCCAGTACATCCTGGAATGTGAGTGGTATTCCACCATCTTCCTTTTGTGTCTTCCCATGTCCAACAAGGACATTAGCAGTAACTTGGGCTAGTGAGTGGTTCATCATAGCTTTCTGTGGTTAGCACCAGAGGTGTGGACTTGAGTCACATGACTCGAGTCATTATTTTAGTGACTTATAACTTGACTTGATAAAATCAATAAAGACTTGTGACTTGACTCGGACTTGAACGCCAATGACCTGCGACTTGAACTGACTTGCATCTGTTGACTTGAGCATATTTTATATTTTAGCACAAACGCGGCACGACATGGACAAAAATCATAAATCATTCTTCGTTCTGGCTTTGATCTTGTTCTGCTAAAAGCAGCTCTTTGTTTATAATCGGCTTCAGTGGCACTTCCTGCTTGTTTGAGCCAATAAATGAAGCTTTAAGAAGCTTTTATTCTGGAATTTACTATTGTCGTTGAGTTGAAGTGGGACAGATAACTTGATTATGACTTGAAAATTCAAAGTTAACGACTTGGACTTGACTTGAACTTCCACATCACTGACTTTGGACTCAACTTGGACTTGACTGGAAAGACTTGTGACTTGCGAAGCAGTGACTTGGTCACACTTCTGGTTAGCACCACTATATCTTCTCCTCCATCGGTGTGTCCCAGGGTGGCTGTGGCTATGGCGTAGCTCATCACCACCCCTGTGTGACTGGATGATCTGCTGCAGTGTAAAGCGCTCTGGAGCCCTGCGACTCGGAGAGGCGCCAGACAAGTGAAGGTCATTCATCGTTTAAGCGTTGCTGATGTTGAAGTGGTTTGGGAAACGCAGGTTTAAGGAGGAGTGTCTAACTTACGGCTTGTTATTCCTGCTTTTCTCAGAACAAACGGATTCCCTGTGGCCGTTACAACATTACTAGTTTATACTGGAACGCCGGTCAGAGACAGCACAGACGTTTTCGTGGACGACGCCACGATAAATGTGGTTTTACTTGCTAGGATCACCTTAAACAAACAGGAAATCTTAACATCCAGGCAGAAGTAATGTTCTGTTTGATAACAGGTTTTGATCCAGAACCGTGATCGGATCCTACAGAGAACACTAATCTGACGTCTGCTTGCTGTCTGGATCCAGATGATGCATCTTCATATCGCTGATATTCCGAGGGAATTCACTTGGTCCCATTTGTTTCTTTGGACACTGAACATCTCCGTTCCTTGCATGCTGCAGGATTATGTGACCCATCAGAGATTGGTCCTCTACCTAGGAGCTCCCTCCTGGAGCTCCGTCAGAGCCGTGTCCAGGACTTTTAAAATGGGGTGGCCCATGTGGGGCACTTGTTTATTCATGGGTGGCACCAACGGTTATGCTTATTTATTTATTTACACAAATCGTTTATTTATTTATTTATTTACTTTCTAGAGAATTTTTGAGTTTCACATTGCACCATTTTTTTCTATTCATCTTTACTTTTGTGGTGGTTAGCAAGTCACTTCTTGTTGCATTACTGCCACCACCTGGAGTTGAGTGGGACTCTAAATATTATGTATGTGAACATGAAAAAATATTAAATAATAATACTACACGCCTGGAATAGAAAACAAGGTGAAAGGTGCATGCAACCCAAGCCTTTTGTCTGTAAAGTCAATCTAAACTGGAACTTAGTGTGGTGGCACCTGGGGTGGCCAATCAGATTCTAAGGGTGGCATGTGCTACCCCAGGCCCCTCCCTGGACACGCCCCTGAGCTCCGTCACCCGCAGAGAGGACGTCTGAGTCTCACTTCCATCCAGAGACCTTCTGCAAACTAAACTCTGTAGCTTCAGTGGAAATGTGCCCATCTTACTGAGGTGTTTAGCGTTATTCCGGACACCCACAAAGCACAGGGTGTTGATGACCCCGTTGCTCATGGCGACGCACTCAATAATGTAGAAGGCCACCAAGGAGTTCCTGTTCCTGGAGATGAGGGTGGGGTAGAAGTCCCGCAGCAGGGTGAAGCTGTAGTACGGCGCCCAGCACAGGACGTAGGCTGCCAGCACCAAAATCAGCAACACCACCCTCCTGCGGCGCCTGTGCAGTTTCCTCAGGATCTGCGTCGTCTGGAATCCAGGAACATCTTTGAACCACAGTTCTCTGGAGATCTGAGTATAGCAGAAGACCATGATGGTCACTGGACCCACAAACTCCAGAGCAAAGATGAGGAGGAAGTAGGCGCGGTAGTACACCTGCTGGTCCACGGGCCAGATCTGAGCGCAGAACGTCTTGTGGGTTTGACCTTTGTCGTGGAGGTAGGTGGTCTCTGAGGCCATGTAGGCTGAGGGGATGGAGATGAAGATGGGAATGACCCAAAGCATCAGAACCGCACAGTACGCCGTCTGGTGCTTCATCCGAGGCTTTAGAGGGTAGAGGATTGCCATGTACCTGCAGACCCAAGAAACAGGGATCAGCACACCTGTTGGGTTCAGGAAACGTTAAACCAAACCGTGAACTAGCTACGTCGTCTGTGTGTCAACCACCGGAGTCACTAAACCGAATCCGTGTGTGTTTCTGTAGAAAATGCAAAGGAAGCCTAGCCTGGCCTGCCAGACTCGTCCTCGGAGTCTGAAGAAAACCACGAGTCAGAGGTTTTTCTGGCTTTCTAGATGATTTTCACCAGTTCCATGATTAAAACCCAGAGGCGGCGTCTTCCACGATCAAGCTCACGGACGTAGTTTTGAGGAGGGATGGGGGGACATGCTCAAGCTAAACCGTGTTTATCTTCCCGACAGGCGAGTTATCATCCTGTAAACCTCTCAGATGTTTGGAGTAAACAGACCGAAGCTGGAGCCATGTCTGACAGTCCTGACATTCGCCGTCTGTCCTTTGAGTCGATGGTTTTAGGTGTGAGACGTGTCTGATGGATGAAGCAGGAGAGCCTGTTGACCTGGAGACACGAGCCTCTGTCAGAGACGGATTACAGCCAGAGGCTTTTATTGCAGCGGGGCATAAATCACATCCTGGCTTTGAAAAAAATCTGATGTGAAATTCCTGCTCAGCGTCAGGCTGGGTTTCGTTCAGCAACATCAGTGTCAGCTCACTTTATTTAGTCTCTTTCTAAATGGCACCTGATCAGTGGTGACTAGAAACGCCGACCAGAACAGGACCTGAGCCAGAGCCCGAGGCTTCAGGTCTCTCTCAGCAAATTCAGAATGCTGAACTGGAATGAATCATCATTGTAATGAAGATCAGTCCGATTCTGAGATGCACCCAGCAGAGACCATGCCAGAGGACATGTTCTACAAACCCACCTGTCCACGGCGATGGCCAGCAGGGCGTTGGTGGACACATAGAGAGACACTGTTCGTAGGTAGTTGGTGGAGGCGCAGAGCAAAAGGCCGTGGTCCCAGGACAGCTTCTTCACCACGTAGTAGTCCAACAGGAAGGGGCAGCAGATGACCGCCACCAGGACGTCCGACACGGCCAGGTTAACGATCAGCAGGGTGGTGCGGTTCCTCAGCTGCTTAAAGCGAACCAGGCTGGCAATGAAGAGGCAGTTGCCCACTCCACAGACCAGCATGATTCCCACCAGAACCACGGCGATGATGAGGGTGGCCACGAAGAACGCTCTGCCCTGTGTGGTGTCTGGGAGCTCATCCAGAGGAACGTCGTAGTCCAACTCGTAGCTGGTCATGTGGTGGTCTGCCACAGACCCGCTGCTGTTGGTCAGGTTTTCCATCGTGGATCAGGACACGTCCAGAGAGCCGCGTCTGCAGGTTCAGCAAGAACATGGTCAACACTTCTGTTCCCACAGCAGACCAAAGAATACTCTCCAGTTTCCACGTTTCAGAGGAAGCTGGCTGGTTGTCATGGTGACAAAACCAAATACCTTTCAAGTTTGATGTAAACACATCATTTCTCCACGACTGGCTTTCCTACTTGCTTCCTGTCCCCGTGTGATCCAGCACAGACCCTGAAGGTCCCAAGCAGGGCTCCAGACTCTTTTCTCCCCCAATTCTAGAGGATACCAACAACAACAACAACAACAATAATAATGCACATTTCTATAGCACTTGATTGAGTCAGGGAATACAGACATTCCCACCTGACCTGGACGGTGGTGAGCTACATCATAACCACAGCTGCAGCTCAGCCACTAAATGGTGCCAACAGCTACAAGCTAAACCTTTAATAAACGCGTTTCTGCAGCCGATCCGGCCCGACTGTTCCTGAGCAGAACCTGTTAAATCCGTCAGCCGGTTGAGGAATGTTGCATCTCAGCTCAGAAGCATTCCCAGACAGTCAGGAAAGAGCAGACTCCCGGGAAACCTGATCAGCTGGGATTTGTCCATCCTTTCAAATATAACTCACCTTCTAAAGACAGAGCTCAGCCCATCTCGGTCTCAGATCCAGCTGCCGGGTTTCCCTGATGCCGAGTCTGGCTCAGACAGGAAAACCTGAATTTTCCTGAAACAGCCGAGATGATTCCAGCTTCTGCAGCTTCAACAATACGAAACAACCCAATGAACTTCTGACGGAAAACTAAAACCTCAGATTAGAACAAGAGAATAAAAGCAGGAACTCTCTGGTAAAACAGAAATAAAACAAAGTGAAGCTGCTCCTCGGCGCTTCCTCCACCCAGGAGGAGGAGGAGCAGCATAATGGGAGGAGGGATGTTGAGATGTCCTGATTCAAAGAATAAACTTCTCACACACACACACACACATTTGTACCCAATGTTAGGACTTTGTATTGACTACCATTGATTTTAGTGAGTCCTCTACGCCTAACCCAACCCAAACCAGTGTACAAGAATTCAGTTATCTTATCTGTAAACCTCACCCCTAGGGAGAACTCCTAACAAGGACCGTCGGTCGTAAGGATTTTAGTAAATATCCCAAATCTGGTCTTCACAAGGGTACAAATACAGTCTGGTTTGGTTATAAACCTCCTTAAAGTAGCCGACTCCATGTTCTGAAACCAGAACATGGTAGAACCTCTTTCTTCTGAAGCCTCATCAGCAGCTCAGTCTAGTGTCAGAACTTGGTGCGGTTCCACCTTCAGCTTCTTGTTGGCGTGACACCGTTTCAGGTCCGGATGCTGGTGGTTCCACACGGAGAACATGAGCCGTGACGGGACCTGGAGCAGTGCTTTGGGGTCAGAGGTTATCCAGCATTAGGCCCTTGCCTTCATGAACGTCTCCATCAGACCTTTGTGAACGGATGGCTCTGATGTCATGAAGAGTCTGTAAACAACAATCAGCTGACAGGAGTCTGGCGTCCCGGTTACAGAACCAGTTCTACAGAATAAGTCAGATTTTAAGCTTTTATTTTACAAAATGAAACATCCAGACGGTTTCCTCGTGAATTACACTACAAAATAAAACAAAAACCACAAAAAAGTGGGTTAAAAAAACAGCCCCCCCCCCCCCCCCCAGAGTCTGTGTTCCGTCTCAGATCAGAACTGGGACTACTTCTTGGCGTAAGTGATCTTCATGGCGCAGGTGGCCGTGATCCGGAAGCCTTGCAGGGCATCCTTGGCTATGCCCGCCTGACTGTCGCTCTCAAACTCCACAAAGGAAATGTCGTGTTTTCCCGGGACGAGTCGAACCTCCTTAAAGCCAGGAAACCTGAAAACAACAAGACAACCATAAACAACAGAAATGCTGTTTGAAAGCTGATCGCTGGGGGGGGGCTTCTGAACTGACGTCCATCTCAGACTGGCGGTTCCACGGCCCCACAAACAAGCGAGTGTCAGCACGGCTCAACTCGGCTTAGGTGCTGCTGCTGTTTCAGTACCTGCTTCAAGGTGACTAACCCCGGGTTTCCACGGGAGCCGTCAGCAGCACGTTACTGCAGCAGCACGTCTTGCTCGCGTAAGCTGCTGCTTGGCCCTTCCCACGAGACGCGAAGCAGCAGGGGAGCAGCTGTCACCGACCGAGCACGAAGTCACACGAGTGACTTCGTCAGTAAACACAACAACAAGCAGGAGAAAACTACAACATGGCTCCCAAAGGTTTGTGTTTTATGTTCTGTCCGTTTTATAATCGCCAATACGGACCTGAAAAACAAAGGAGACCGCTAGCTAGGTGATAACTTCTCACGAGGACGCACAGTAACGTTTTATAAAGTAAAGCGACCGGAAGGCAGTACGTTCTTTATTCTGAAAATCTCTGGAGCTTCTCTCCGTTTCCGCGTCCGATTTTCTGTCTTTCCTTCCCCAAAAATGTCGAACTTGACCCGTTTCAGAGGCGTCGCGCGTAGAAAATAGAACCGGCGCGTAAAGGCCGCGACATGCTGCTCCTGACGCGCTGCCGACGGCTCCGGTGGAAAAGGTTCTGTTGACCACAGCGGTTCCTATCAGCAGCTATGACGTGCTGCTGCAGTAACGTGCTGCTGACGGCTCCTGTGGAAAGCCGGGGTAAGGGTACGGAGCCAAAAACACAACTCCAGGAGTCAGCAGTTGCTCCATAGTTCTCCACCACGCTGCCCAGAGCCGTTTCTGGGTTCAGTCTGACAAAAACCATCACCGTCATTGTTGTTTCTCATACAGATCTCCTCTAGCTCACCCCCATGACAAATCCTGAGCGCCCTCCCCACTCTGCTGGTTCGATTCAGGTTCTGATTCTGCTGCGAGTCGCAGAAACAAAAGAATTCTGACTTTTGGAACTAAAACGACTCAGCTGGTTTCAGGTGGCTGAGGTTCTGGATGGAGGAGGTCATGTTGGACTCACTGGTTAAAGAGCATGGAGAGCATCATCTCATTGGTCTCCTCTGGAAGGTTGGTGAGGAACAGGATGTGGTTCGGGGGATTGTCTGGAACCTGAGAAGAAAATAAATAAATAAATAAAAGGTTTGAAAGCTCACAGGTATTGTAAAGATGTGGGTTTTCTCACCTGAGCAGCAGGTGTCTGGACAGGCACAACTGAAACCTGCAAAGGAACACAAGTGAATCATAAACCTTTACACAACATTTTGGTGTTCTGATGCTGGTCAGCAGGGTTTGGACCAACAGGGCCAGAACCTTTAAAATAACCTCAACCCAGAAGAGTCGGGTCTGGGTCAGAGAAGTCACACGAAGCAGAAGCAACACTCACCGCCGATGGTTTCTTAGCGGCATTTGCCGCCTGCTCCTGAGCCTTCTTCTTCTTCTCCTTCTTTTTCTCCTTGTCACTAAACGTGCCCTTCATCTTGGAGATGACCTCCGAGTCGGTCTTAGCGTACTGGATCCTCTGAGAAAACACAAGACCCGAGTCAGACCTGCAGCTCTGAGAGGGCCCACAACCCCCTCTGCTCCTGAGACAAAGCCAAGCTGCCGGTGGGTTAGGTTAGGCAAACTGTTAATGTTCTCATGTGGGAATTTTGCTTTTGTCACGACAGAAAGAGGACAGTCAAAAGGTAGGAGCAGCGAGTTTACAGAACACTAAAGTACAATAAAGACATTAAACCGCACCAACACAGCACGCTTCACCAGTAATGGGAAAAAAATTCACGCTAAACCAGAAACACTCAAATAATATTGCACACAACTAACAACTAGTATGGTGCATTGGATGCATGTGCTATGTGTATCGTGTGTGTGTGTGTGGTTAACTGGGAGGTTGTTATTTTACAGTCTGACTACAGAGCAGATCAAAAACTGGAAAAGATGACAGTCTGCGTACCATGGGTTTGTTATAGAAGGGGAAGCCCTGTAGTTGCCTCAAGGCGTTGGTGGCAGCGGTGAGCTCTTTGAAAATGACGAAGGCCTGACCCCTCATCTTCTCCGTCTTCATGGCTACGATATCAACGATCTGACCAAACTGGGAGAAGAGCGCGTAGAGAGAACGCTTCAGCTCTACGGGAGGAAGGAGACAAGAGATGTGCCAAGATGGGTGAATCCATGAATGTTAATTTTCAGTGTGACCTGGGTCTGTCTGGGCTTTGGAATCCCAACGTTTCCCCGTCTCTGATCTGTTGGCGGCTAACTTAGGAAACAGAAGACTATTTTCCAGTTCAGCCTGTATGATTTTATTTAAAAATTAAAATGAAGCTGAAAAAAGAAAAACACAGTTTATCAGTTAACTTGGTGTTTAAGCAGCAACATGTTGACTGACTTGAACTTTTATTCTTTTACAAACGTATCTTTTTAAAAGGATTTAAGCCTTAAAATTGTTGTTTTTGCTTGGTATGTTTATATTGTGATGTTCTCTGTGCAAAACTTTAATACTCGTGTCTAGAGAGGTGCTCCATAAATGTAAATTAATGTAAAATCAGCTCAACTCACCTTCCTTCTTCACCTTGTCATTGATGTTATTGATGTAAATCGTGTGATTTGGCCGGATGTCCATGATAAGTGTCTGAAAACAGGAGAACCCATAATAATAATAATAACAATAATAACAGTTGATCAATGGGACGGGCTGGTATCAAATATCCGATTTGAATCTGGTTCGGTAATCTGGGGGATTTCGAAGTACAATTAGATTTTACTTCAACTTTTTGAACTCAAATCTCTTGTTTAAATACCAAAATTATCCTAAACTCAACTATTCGCGAATGTTAATAAATGTATATGAATGTCTAAAAATAAAAACACCGGTTTTTAACAGCGTGGGATCAGGCTGATGAAAATTAAGTTTTTAATTTAAGATTTTTCAGTTTGAAAACATGTTAGCATCAGCTAGCTCGGTGGCTAACAGATCCCTTTCTGACGAAGTTCTAGTCAAACAAGCATCGCTTTTACATAAAAAACACATTCATCTGCTCCCATGTCGCGTTACTGATAAATAAACTTGTTTCAAACTAAGTTAAATGAAGGAAAAACTCACCTTTTCTGGTCACACCTGAACACACACTACGATTAGCGCCCCGGTGTTTCACCGGATGTGTCACACCGGATATGAGCAGGGGGGCGGTGCTTATTAGGACCCACTTTTAATGAGCGGATGTCTTATTTATTACAATTTTAACGAATATCCGAATAACTTTTCACTTATGCTTACGCTCTTTTTGTGCTATCTTACATTTTTTTAAAACAATAATTGATTTAAACACGTTTTTCTTGACCTATTTATCCACATTTATACATACCTGTAAATGTTCTAATAAGAAACGGAATTATACTCAACAAAGTTTTGCGTCGAGTAACATTCAAAATTTTAAATGATATTATCCAAATAACTTTCTACATGTTAGATTTAACTGGATGAATAATTCAAGTGGTTTTTGTGAAAATAATATTGAAAATGTAGAACATATTTTTTTTAATTTAATGTGAGTGTGTCAAGATCCTGGTTCTGGTCTATAGGGCCCTACATGGACAAGCACCATCTTACATTGGTGATCTTCTTAGTCCCTACACCCCCAGCAGGTCCCTGAGGTCCAGTGATCAAAGCCTACTGGTTGTGCAGCACCAGGCTAAAGGTCAAAGGTGACAGATCATCTGCTGCTGTGGCCCCCAGACTCTGGACCTCTCTCCCCCTGAGCCTGAGATCAGTGGACTCAGTGGTCTCCTTTAAAAAGCAGCTGAAGACTCACCTGTTCAAGCTGGCTTTTGTATGACCTTCTTCACCTCTCTCTCTTTATTCTGCTCTCCCCACCTATTCCACCTTCCTCAGGATCCACTGATTTCCCCCTTTCCTATTCACTCTCTCTCTTTCTTAACATTTTTTCTTTTAAATCGCAACATCTTGCTCATTTTAAATATATTTTAAACATTTTCGAAATGCTTTTTTATATTTTTATATTTTTGTTTTTGTTTTTGTGAAGCGCCTCGTGATTTTTATCTTGAGAGGCGCTATAGAAATGATATTTTCTTCTTCTTTTCTTCTTCTTCAAATATTTCTGGTGTTCTGTTCACACTTGGTTGTTGTCTAAGCATGTCACAGTAAGTCCGTTAAACTGGTTGCTATAAGTGGGGTTGTTTTTGAAAGACAAACATCAAGATTTCTTGGTAAATGTTTTGATTTAGCTGGGAAAACCTTTTATACACAGATGTAAATTCCTCAAGGTTAAGCCTCATGTAAGCGGACGGAAAAAGGATTTGGAACTGTTCAAGAAAAGTTTATATTATGTGGAGAAGAAAGATGCCCAGAGACTATCTTCTTTGTTGGATATATTCAAACTTCTAGAATAAGGCCCTCACACTTTCATATGTTTTTAATGTTAGTTACTTTTACTTTGTGTTTCTTATTATAATCCCGTGGTAAAAGCTGATTCAACACGTTTAGATATTGATAGATTGTTTGCCCTGTCTGTTGTATAAAAAAACTGTGTTCAATAAAAAAAAAGTTTGCTTCAAAAGGGTTCACCGGAAAACAACCTATTTTTCCATTCACATCAGTGTGTGTTTTTCTCGTTACGCGTCTGTGTGGACAGTGGTCGTGGTTGTGCGCAGAAGATTTTAAAAGTTTAGACTATAAAGATTGTAAAAATGAACAAGTTTATTAACTTCACTTCAGCGGTATTTTGATCAGGCATCAATCAGGTCACCTCGATCTCAAACACACCTCTTCCAAAGTCTGACTCCTACTGCCCTCGGGTGGCGCGGAGGGGAAACTGCAGCCTGATGCGTTTTCATGGTTTTTTACAGAACCGCTGTGTAGAACCAACGCATAATTCAGGAGGTTGTACTTTGGAAAAGTTGGAATAAAAATATATATTACGTTATATGAATATTTATGGTTTGACAAGTACTATGGTGTTCTCTCTAAGACTGAAAGAAAGGTTAAGAATGTAGAATAAATCCATTTGTTTGCTGCAGTGTGGTAAATCAGAACATGGTGATGTTCTCAGGCTTCTTCTGGCTGGAAGTAATTTAAGGTTTATATAGCACCTATCAAAACAAAAAAAAATCACATCAAAATTAAAACGTGATTAAACGACAAAAAGAAAAAACAAACACACACTTTTCTACCTGTTCTTTGGAACTTCTAAAATATTCTGTTTTGTGAACCTGAGGACTTGGGATGGAGCAGAAGGCGTTAACAATTCACTAATATAAGAAGAAACTTGGCCACATATAGCCCTGAAAGCCATGGTCAGGATTCTAAAATCAAATCTAAAGCTAATGGGTAAAAAGTGCAGAGACATCAGAATAGGAGTGATTTCGGGCTCTTGGAGAGTGGGACAGAGCCAGCTGGGCACATCATGCACTCCTGGAAACAGTGGAAACTGATCTGCCTCTCTCAACTGTCTGTAGAGGATTCTGAAGATGTCTGGATATTCGTGGTGTTGGTGTCAGGTTTGGTGCTGTTTGGCCTGAGCGGGCACCTGGCTTACCGGAAAACTAATGAGCTGTTGAAGAATATTGGCTCAATCTCGGAGCTCAGGGATGGATTACACCGCGCTGTGAACACACAAACTCATATAATTGTCGAGATGAGTCGTAAGCTTGGAACTTTGGCTGAGATTCAGACTCTCGCACAGAAAATTGATGCCATCAAGGATAGAGTTGACAGATCAGCACGGATTGGGATAGATTAATTACGCCATTATTGGATCGAGAGGGGTTGAGCATCAACAGAACTTTAAGGCAGAGAGGAAATTATCTCTGTCTGGCCCCAAAACAAGTTCTTATCTGAATCTGGTGCCCTTGAGCCTGTGAGGCTGAAGAGATTACTCCCCCTCAGAAGAAATGTGGAATGCTGCTGTTGCCATGGCAACTCTGTCTCCCTATCCCAGCCTGGGTGGGACTGCGGGAAGGCCGCTGAAACGTTCCAGGGTCACTGCAACCCTCCATTCCACAATGCTCCTCCCCCTATCCACACTGAGGTGACATGCGCTGCTTATCGTGGCTGCAGGAACTGAAGTGGGGATAGTCCCAACCCACCACCCCACCTAGTGGACACTTATGTTGGGTTGTCTGAAGTCTGTTGCATATCTGTCTGAGGCGTTTTTTGCAGAGCAAAGCTGCCCTCCCTGTGGAGGGTAACTCTGAAGTGCCTTTTTCCCTCCACCTGAACCAATCCTCATGTAAACCCTCTTATCTCTATTAAGGTAGCGCGACTCGGGGTTGCGAATGACCACAGTCATCAATTCTTGCCATGTGTCTCTTCCTATGCATGTGTGATTTCAGAATTGTGTGTACTGAAACTCTAATTTCCCTCTGGGATTAATAAAGTATCTTTGAATTGAATTGAATTTGAGTTCTTCTGTTTGTTCCAGTTAGGAGCCTCTCTGCAGCATTCTGGACCAACTGAAGGAGGTCAAGGGCTTTGTTTGTTAAAAGGATTTTTCACCCCTAAGTGAAATTCAGTTTGTTGTCATATGCCCCAGACTTAGATAAATTGGAAAAAGTATGTTGTAACCAGCCCATCCATTCTCCTAATCTGGCAGTATTCTGTTTGATTTAGCTTAGCATAAACAATGTAAGTGAATGGTAGCTAGCTTTTCATGCAAACATGTTATGGAAATGACTCAAAAATTATCCTAATATTTCTTGGTGACCCTAATAATCATATCAACTGCAAATTAAAGTAATAAGTAATGCAAAAGAATTTCAGGAGTTGTTTTAGATTTGGGAATACTAACGACAAAGCATAACTTGGTAAGCCACCGCTGCAAGGGTGACACATCGACCCAAAAGACAGCTAATTCCATAAACGTGTGTGTGTGTGTGTGTGTGTGTGGCCACTTCTTCAAATGAGTTCAGAGGCTGCTGCATTATGTTCTCACGGCTTGCAGCGCTGCTTTGTCCTAATGTAGTCCCAAGTCTAAATCTGACCCTAGTATTTATTTGTGTTACTTATTAATTTCATTTGCAGTTAATACAATTATTGAGGTAACCAAGACAAATGAGGATCATTATTAAATAATTTTCATGACTTTTTCACAGAAAATGCTAGTTGTTTCCTTAGAGATGGAACGTCCCTTTAAAACAAGCGATAAGTGTGTTGCCGTAATCTAGACGCAGGGGCGGATTTAGCAATTTGGGGGCCCAAGGCGAAACACAGACATGAGGCCCCTTACACAAAATTTTCAACAATCTTATCTTTAACTGGATTTGTGAAACTCTCCCCTCTTCTGACGTGAGTTATCTTCCCTTTTTATTAGTCCTCCTCTTTTTTCCTGTCTTTCTCTCCCTTTGAGTTGCTCTGCTTCCTCCTTCCTGTCAGTGCTCCTGTGCTTTTGCCTTTATTTTTATTCTTCTATTCTCCATTTTGGTCTATGTTTGCCTCCCTTTAAACATTTTCCATCGTCTTTCCTTTTCTGCTTCCTTTTGATGTTTACATCGAAAAACGACGTCACTTTTGGAAGGGGAAATAAAAGGTTTTTTAAAGCAAGCTGCTTCTTTCTCTTACTGGAGCCACTAGGATAACTCCATTTCATGCTTAACTGTTTTGGGCCAGCTATTTTGGGTGTCCTGGGTCAAAAACACTGAATTCCTCAAGTTGGATTTGACGGCAGAAGTTAAATGACCAAATTGTTGACTGATCAGAAGAGCCGTGCTCTCAGGGGCAATGATCAGACATTCAGCCTTTTTAGAGTTTAAAACTGAAGGAAGTTATCTCCTAGCCAGTCACTACTGATAATTACTCGAGTAGTTCAGTCTCCATCTGACAACCCCTGTCAGTTGCAACAAAGATCAGATCGTTTCTAATCTTGTGTCTGTCTTTATTGTAATGCATGCTGCTGCTTTTTGAATGATCTGATTTTTAATCTCACCAGCTTCCCGTTCTTTCATCGCATTTATCCCAATTTCTGATCTTAGTGATGTTAACGCCTCCTAACCCAGATAACAAGCTTACATTGAAACTATATTGAATCCACATTGCATTGTCAGCATTACAACATTGAATCAACATCATTTTGCACCTAAAATTTAATATTGAAACAATATTGACTCTATAGACCAATGTCTTTACAAATGTATTTCAATTAACCTAAATATTAAAACATTAAAATTTCAACACATCTACAGATCAATGCACTTTCACTTGTATTTCAACTGAGAGAATTATTACAATGTCATGCTGTTTCTGTTAGGATTAATCAGCTTAGCAACATTTATTCAACATCTAGATTGCACATAGACTGTATATACGAGTTTGCATCAAGATTTCAGTGTCAACCATTCTGATTATTCAGATGGAGAATCAATATTGTTTCAATGTAAGCTTGCTCTTTTTGTGTTTTAAGAGTCTGCTAGAACGGTAAGTCTTAAAATAATTCTGCTATTATTTAATTCAGTTCAGCAAGAGGGAAGGGTTTCAGCCATTTTTCAGCATTCAGCATTAAACAGCATTTCTGATAATAATTTGTCTGCTTTACTTTTGTTTTTTAATATATCTTGCAAAGCTCTTTGTTGTTTTTAAATTAGCTAGAGAGAAATTACCATTTAAAAAAAAGTATCAAAACAAATGTAAACTTTCAGAAAAACAACCTAAAAATTCTAGAAACATAACTTGACCATAATTTTTAATTTTCTACATTTTTAGTTTTTCAGTCGTGTTTTAGGCTAGAAATGTAGACAAACCGTAGAAACAGCAAACATGTTTTGCTGTGTTAGGTTTGTGGCCCTGCGGACGGAGTACTCGGTATTTTCCCCGTCCAGTTTGGCTCCTCCCGACTTCCGTACAACCTATCCTAATGTTTTTATCAGCTGATTCGCCGCTAACGCAGCAGTTACCGGACACAAACCGGGAGCGAGCCGGTAAATGTTACGGCAGTGACGTGGCGTCACCTGCTTCTGATAAGATTTAATCAAGTCGGACATCCTCTCTCCCCTCCCCCTCTATCGGTGCACTTTCTCCCAAGTTTTTTTCCAGTTTTATCTTCCGACTTTTGCCCTTTTCCCGCTGCGCCCGATGCTACTTTGCTAGCCTGTTAGCCAGTGAGCTAACTGATATAAAGCTTCTCGCCGCAACAGGAGGCTGACAGCCCGGGAGGTGCGCTCCACAGCGGAGCGGGATGAGCCATGGCTTCGGTCCGGGTCGCTGTGCGGGTCAGGCCCATGAACAGGCGGTGAGTCCGGGACAATAAGGCGGGGATTAAACCCGTGCACAGCGGGACTTGGTGTGTTGTTAACCCGTTTGGTGGCCGTTAGTTGGCAGCAGGTGTTCCTGGTAAATTGCTCTTGGATCCACCTGAAAATACAAGAAAATCTCAAAAGAGTCAAATATTCTGGTTCGTGTTAATTAGAAAAGAAAACTGGCTTCACGGAGTTTAATCAGTTTAGTTTTCATCGCTAAAACAAAGTGTTTTCTAATTTAACAGAAATTTGGTGAATTATGGAGTAACTCTGAGGCTTTTAGTTGTTTTCCCTGTTTTTTTCCCCAATTTTTATTTCAAACTTGCAACATTACAAGGAGGATAAATAAGCAAAGAGCACATGGAAACATAATAATGAATGTAACCTTACAAAAAGCGCCAGGGCTACAGAACCCAGTGTTTAATAACTGAAGTTGGGATGCTAAAAGAAAAAGAATAACAATAAACATTTAAAGTTGTCCAGGTCAGAGCGTATGTTCGTGTTTTACCAGCTTTAACATATTGTGAGGTAGATAATGTGTGCAAATGTAGCTTAACTTGCATTTTGAAATAAAGGCTGGGTTTTCAACACTTTGCATGTGTGACCATAACATTTTGCCAAAAGCAAAGACAAATTGATTACAAAAAAGCAGATTGATATTTCTTTGGTCTGTCCAAACAGAACATTTTTAATTGAAGCTGGACGGAAGGCAGAATTTTGTCTTTTACAAACAAACATGACCAGAATAAGTGGGAAAGTTGTTTTCCATCTGGAACAGACTCGGTCCGTTAATAATGACGAAGTTGGAGTATTCTGCTGTTTTGTGATTATTGTTTAAATCTGCAGTTTAACAATAATAACAGTAATGAAGGTTTGATTTGGTTTTAATGATAAAAATAAACCTTTTCTGCATTTCTGACACTGTTTAATGACAGCACAAAAATATCCTTAAGACCTGAATCATGTTTCATTGCTTTCTGCTCATTTATTTAGTTGTGCAATTAAAAACAATGAATTGAGTAAAAGTTAAAATAACTGTCATTTACCCCGTTTTTTCTAACCGTTTTAATAACTCAAATAGAAAAACTCAGAATGGAAAAAAACTTTTTAATAAATCAGTTTTTCATTAGCTTAAAAAAAGCAGATTTTTTTTTCTTCCATGTCAGAAAAACCTGTAGTTTTCTGAGCCTGCATACATTCACTCCAGGGTTCTGGTTCTGGGATCTGGATCTGGGTTCTGGTCCAGGATCCAGGTTCCTGGAACTGGGTTTGTGATACTGGAGACAAAACAACTTCCAGAAGCGGATCGATCGTCTAATCAGACCTTCGTATTGATCAGCATTTGGATTTTGTCCTGATAACTTTATTTGTTCAGTAAATTGTTCAACAACAAGATAAAGTTGAGGAAAACCTTTTAACCTGTTTTTTCTTTCTGGATAAATAGCAAAAAAAATAAAAAAACCAGAGAGATGCTGAGGAGACCATCTGGATCAGAATGAGGACCTGAATGAGAACAGGAACCATCATCTATGCTGGTCCCCTCTCAGACCCTCAGGAGGATTCCTGCTAAAACAAAGTTACAGATATAAGTTTTAGTTATAGATAGAACCTTTTCCTTGAACAAGTTGTGTATGTGTGACCTTTGACCTGATGTTGCTGCTATCTGGTTGGCTTTTGCTGCGATAATAAACTTCTGCAGGAGGTCAAACTTGGACCCATCCGGGGACCATCAGCTGATCGTAAGCTCCACAAACATCTCAGCTCACTGTTGAGGGTCCAGACAAACTGAGGTGTCTTCACTGGTCCTGGACCGGCTCGTGCCAGTTCCGACCAGTCCAAACCTCCGAGATGGGATCAGAGAACTGAACAGATGAAGTCCTGAAGTCAGAGACTCCATCTGTTTCTGATCCAAACCTGTGGATGGGGTTAGGAGCTGGAGTTCCCCTTGTTCGGATGATTCACACCTGGTCCAGGTGTCTGGTGTACCTGCTCCTTGGTGTATTTTACCTTCATTAGCTGCAGCAGCAATTTGTTGGTCTCCTCTCCTCTGATTGGCTCAGAGCTGCAGCTTCTGTCTGATCAGATCTCAGCTGCTTCTATGTAGCGCTGTCTGGTTTCCCACAATGCATCTGGACTGGGGCTTCAGGCTCTAGAAGTTGCCCTTGGGCTAGATCCTCCACCCCTCCACTGTCAGTGTTCGAAGGGGCAGGTGGTAGCTCACCCGAACCCCCCAGTGAGTCGACGGGTCATCTTGGGCGTTTTTAAGGTGGTATTTCCAGCTGTAAAGGTGGACCCTAAGGGCGCCCTCTACAGGTGGATTCTTGCACTTCAGATGTAGATCGCAGCTGAATCAGTTTAATCTGTGATGTTCCGAAGCTGAAACCCAATAACTAATGCAGTGATCAGAAGTAAAAGAACCGAATGGTTTTGTGTTCTAATCAGTTAGCGGGTCAAAGCTGAACTGGATCAGAACCCTAACCCTAAAAGCCCGGAACCAGTGGGTCTGACAGGGTTACTGGGGCGGTGAAACGGTTTAAAAACCATCTCAACCCTTCCTCTGAGTCAGGATTTTGTTTGATGGATAAACTTCCTGTACGTCTTCCAGGGAGAAGGACTTGACGGCAAAATGCATCATCAGGATGGACGGAACCAAAACCTCCATCACCAACCTGAAGGTGAGCTTCCTCCCTTCAGAGCAGCTGATGAACACACTTCTAGCTTCCGTCTGAACTGGTTTTGGGTGTTTAGATCCCAGAGGGCGTCATCGGGGATTCCATGAGGGAACGAACCAAAACCTTCACGTACGACTTCTCCTACGACTCCGCGGACTGCGTCAGCTCCACGTTCGCCTCTCAGGAAAAGGTGAGGGCTGCTTTTCTAACGTGAGGAGGTGGTGCTCATGCTTTTGTGATCCGAGCGTTCTCATCGGACCTCGTTCTCGTTGCTGCTCTCAGGTTTTCAGAGATCTGGGTTCCGACGTGCTGAAGGCAGCCTTCGAGGGCTACAACGCCTGCGTGTTCGCCTACGGTCAGACCGGCTCTGGAAAATCCTACACCATGATGGGAATTCCAGTAAGTGGATGAATATTTAACTTCCCTTCCAGATGATGTAATCTAGAGGAGCTGGCTGGTCCCGTCTGTTCAGCTGCAGCAGCTGATTAGTTTATTGAGCTGTCTGTTTTCACTGACATGGTCATGATGTGAGATAACTCTGGAGACCAGCGTCTCTGGAGGCGGAGTTGGAAGTCCTCTGGTCTGAGTCGGGATTTGGATTCGGGTCTAATGAGTCGGATGGTCTGATGTTTGGCTTCTGACCTCCTAAAAAACCCAAATTTCAAACACTGTCTGCTGTGTTTCAGCTCTTCCTACAGAGACAACCAGGTAGATGCGTTCTGGGACGTGTCGGGAGGAACCTGTAGTCAACGGCACATCCAGATCTTATTTGTGTTTAATGCCCCGCTCAGTCTGTCGCTGTCGTTGTGTCCTTGGGCAAGACGCTTAACCCGCCTTGTCTGCTGGTGGTGGTTGGAGGGACCGGTGGCGCCAGTGCTCGGCAGCCTCGCCTCTGTCAGTGCGCCCCAGGGCAGCTGTGGCTACATTGTAGCTCATCCCCACCAGTGTGTGAATGTGTGTGTGAATGGGTGAATGACTGGTTGTGTTGTAAAGCGCCTTGGGGGGTTCCAGGACTCTAGAAGGCGCTATATCAATTACAGGCCATTTACCGTTTAACGTCTTTCCTCTAATATTATTTTTCTGATCATATTTAAACTTATTAACTCAAAGAAAGCAAATCAGTTCCACTGATACATGGTGGCTGTTAATCTGATGTTTGTGATGAACACCTGAGACGGTTCCTCACATGGAGCCAGCAGGTCCGAATCAGGATCCATAAACCTTCAGTCTGGAAGATGCCAGAAAACTGCTGCTCTTGGTTAGGGAGTGATGGCAGTCAAAGTGCAGCTGTTAGATGGTGACAGGCTCAAAAATGTCATTATTATGGGGACAAGCAGGGTTATAACAGCCGTTACTGTAATGAGTGTTAATTACAATTAAAATTCATATCCAGTATGAAATCCATCTTGCGGACCACTGGTTTATTTAAATCAGAAGACTGGATCTTTTTAGAGCAGGGATGTAGATGACACCTTGTATTAACTTGGAGACAAGAGAAGAGAGAGAGACCTTCAAAAGTTTAAGATGGTTTATTACTAAATAATTTTAAACAATTTAACAAGACTAACTCTCTAATGGTGGATGATCTGTTTGGATGAAGTGTGAGGTGGGCGGTGTGTGTGTGAATGAGTGTTAAATTCAGAACCCTCGTATCCGGAGAACAAAGTCTGAGTGGGAGATGATGTTTTGCTCCTAACTGATCAGAGTTTGAGACTCGTAGTCATAAACACATGAGACGCCATTTTGTCGCATCCACATACCCTCAGTGAGACCTCCGTACAGATCTGGATGCCAGGTCCACGACTCTCCTCTGGTACTGGAGCCGATAGAACAGTCGACAGTACGACAAACCAGTCCTTGGATAGTCTCCAGGTAAAAAGCGACGGGTGGTTCACAGCGTTAAAAGGAGACCCTCCTTGGGTCAGCGAGTTCAGCTTTTATTCTGAAAGAACCGTTGCTGGTTGGTAACAAAACAACATAATTTTCTCAGCTTGAATGATTCTCAGCTTAAAAAGAGAAGTACAGATGTCCTGTCCTTACTTCTCTTAACATGCGGTGAACTTCATGGGATCTTGAATACTGAACTTAAGATGGCGTTGGAACTGTTTTATTAATCTGGATGTTTTTGATTCTGGACGAATCAAAGCTGACAGATTTAATAAACACCACAGACTCTGCCACGCTTCAGACTAGGAAGGTTCTGATTGGATCAGTACAGCAATGTGTCATGTGATTGTTTTCCTTACGTGTGTCTAGTGGACTAGAATAAGTCATTTACTTATTAAAAACATATTAATCATAATATTGTGATTTCACAGATCGGTCACATTGTATTATTGACTAACAGTTGTTTAGATTAGCTTTTATTGAAAATAGAGTTCTTTGATTTTGATAATAGAAAGGAAACTTCGTCTTCTGTCTTCATCGCTGGAACGTAAACCGTTTAGAAGCGAATGCATGACCTTGAGGCTGTTTCATGCACTCTGGCGCTGTGTCAGAGGGAACTGTGGAAAAGGTTAAATAACCTTGGAGGAATAGCTCCTGCATCATTACCATGGTGACAGTCTAGCTTAGAGTAGCGACCTTTTCCACGGTGACGAGTGGATTTACAGCGCCCGTTACCGTGGCGACGTGGGCTTACAACAGCTGTTACTATGGCGACGGGTGACTGTCCTGCCTCTGTTTTCCTACTCTCAGGGAGATGCGGGTTTGATTCCGAGGATCTGTGAAGGTCTCTTCAGTCGGATCTCGGAGGCCACGCGATGGGACGAAGCGTCGTTCCGTACAGAAGTCAGGTGAGTTCTGCTGTAGAACAACACCTTGATGACAAGAGGTTCAGAAAACGAAGAAAGCCCGGCCTGCTTCTGTTGAAGGGACCTCTGAGCATCGTCATGTTTAACAGCAGCGATGTTCCTACAGAACACCTGGGTCTGAAGGTCCAGCATGATCCGGGTTCCCAGTAAAAACCAATCTGTGGTTTTTTTCCAGCTACTTGGAGATCTACAACGAGAGAGTGAGAGACCTGCTGAGGAGGAAGTCGTCTCATACCTACAACCTGAGAGTCAGGGAGCATCCTAAAGACGGGCCCTACGTAGAAGGTAAAGCCCCCAGAGCAGAACCAGCTCCCTCTGGTGTCTCGAGTCTCATCCAAGTCCGGGTCAGGAGCAAAAGGGCCCTCATGGACAGGAAGTACCATGCTTTCAAAATAAGTCTCCAGTTGTTTCCCTGCAGGACAAAGATGTTTTCTGAATTTGTCCATCTTCTGACCTCAGATCTGTCCAAACATCTGGTGCAGAATTACAGCGACGTGGAGGAGCTGATGGAGGCAGGAAACATCAACAGAACCACGGCTAGTACCAGCATGAACGATGCCAGCAGCCGCTCACACGCCATCTTCACCGTCAACTTCACGCAGGTCAGGGTCAGACGAGCCTCGAGCTGGGGTCTAACGAGTCAGGAGTCAGACATTGAGCTATGATACCGACTGATGGTGCTGGCCTCAAACGATGAGGACCCATCAGACCGAGACCGGTACCGTTCAGGATGTGGACCCATGTCCTTGGAAGACGAGTCCTTTTTTTTTTTTCTGTCCTCAGAACTCGGCTGTGTTTGTCGGTCTATGTTTGGTTTTTTCCTTGTGGAACACGTTCTCCGGTCACGACCGACCCGGTTCTGCCCAGACGGCTCACTCAGGCTGAACTCATTAGAATCGTTTCCACTTTCAGGCCAAGTTTGATGCCGAGATGCCGTGTGAGACCGTCAGCAAGATCCACCTGGTAGACCTGGCAGGAAGTGAGCGGGCCGACGCCACGGGCGCTACCGGCGTCCGGCTGAAGGAAGGAGGAAACATCAACAAGTCACTGGTCACGCTGGGAAACGTCATCTCCGCTCTGGGTCAGAACCTGGATCCATCTGGTGTCTTTGTTTCTCACACACTAAGAAATCGTTTCTAAACGTGTGTGTGTGTGTGTGTGTGTGTGTGTGTGTGTGTGTGTCCATCCAGCGGACATGACCCAGGACGGCGTGAACACCAACCTGAAGAAGAAGTCGGTGTTTGTCCCCTACAGAGACTCGGTACTGACGTGGCTGCTGAAGGACAGCCTGGGAGGGAACTCGAAGACCATCATGATAGCGAGTGAGCTCTAAAACGTTCCGCGGTCTCCGTCGGCGTGGGACTGCTGCGGGTTGTTGGGTTAATTCTGATCTCGTTCATGTTACAGCTGTGTCTCCCGCCGACGTGAACTACGGAGAGACACTCAGCACTTTGCGCTACGCCAATCGAGCCAAGAACATCATAAACAAGCCCACCATCAACGAGGACGCCAACGTCAGACTGATCAGAGAACTTCGGGCTGAAATCGCTCGGCTGAAGGCTCTGCTGGTTCAGGGCAACCAGGCGAGTTAAAACCTTGAGTTGGAGAAACCAGCAACCTTTAGGGACCACAGCAGAGGGCGTGGACGCTCTGGTGCTCCGCCCAGGTCCGGTCCTGGTCTTTGGGGTACAGGCTCTTAATCAGTGGGTCATTACCGGGTCTCTGCAGAACCAGCAGAGCTGACAAGGTGGTCCGTTGACTCGGGTGTTGGAACTGAGAAACATCCAGGAACGGTTCCTGATCTGGTCCGGAGCATTTTGTCCTGTGTCTGTAAGAAGACCAACGTTTAACGTGACCTTTGACCTTTGTGTTTCAGATCGCTCTGCTGGACTCGCCCACAGCTCTGAGTATGGAGGAGAAGCTCCACCAGAATGAGGCCAGAGTGAGTCGCCGTTTTAAAACGAACCCGTTTTTATTCCGACGTTCGTCCGACGTGTGTTGTTGTGTTTTATGAGACCTTCGTCTCTACAGAAGGATCCGTTTCTTCTTGTGACCCTTCTGACTCGCCATAGAATTAGTTTGGTTTAGTTGTTGTTGCTGCAGTTTTTTTCTTCTTCAACCTGGTTTTGCTCTGTAGGTTCTGGAGCTGACGAAGGAGTGGACCAACAAATGGAACGAGACCCAGAACATCCTGAAGGTGAGACCCATGACCAGAGATGTCTTTTCGTCGTTCCCGGACGATCTTAAAGCGCGTCGTTTCTGCAGGAGGAGACTCTGGCTCTGAGGAAAGAAGGCATCGGTGTGGTGTTGGACTCGGAGCTGCCTCACCTCATCGGCATCGACGACGACCTCCTCAGCACCGGCATCATCCTCTACCACCTGAAGGTAGGAGGTCCAGGTGTTCCGCGGGCCTCAGGCCGTGTCCAACAGGTTCACCGATACCTGATCAGAGTCCAGTCTCGATGAGCACACCTGGGACCGGTTAGCCTGTCGCTTTGGCCTAATTTAGCTCCGCCCACCAGAGGAGCTCAGAAGAACCAAGCAGCCATAGTGAAAGTTTGGTAGGTTTGTAAGGAAGCAGGAAGGAGCCAGAACCTCCACTCTTGCTGCTAATATGGACCTCAGCCTGGTTCTGGTTCTGTTGAGGTTCTCATGGTTAGGGTTCTGGAAGTCTCTCAAGGGGGAACTGAGTCAGAATGTATGAAGTAAATAATTCTGAACTGGATCAGAATCCCGCTGTAGGTTCTGAGCGTGTGCAGAGGTTCTGAAGGAGGCTTGGTCGTTTAATCGTCTTTCGAAGCATCAAATAAAACTGAAACGGATCTGAATCATTTAGTTTTTAACGAGATGAACCACAGTTCTGAGCTCAGTTTACAGCTTGCTTGTCCCACATTGTCCACACGGGGTTGGACATGGTCCTTCCTGAGGGACGAGATCTGGAGGCGGCTGAATAACGCGTCTGGTTTTGCTTCAGGAGGGACGGACGTATGTGGGCCGAGAAGACGCGTCCACCGAGCAGGACATCAGTAAGTCCCTTCGTTAACTTGATCTGAAGGCAAAGAGGCGAGTTCTGGACCTGGACCTGGTGCTGATGAGCTGTGCGTTTGTGCTCCTGTAGTTCTGCACGGCCTGGACCTGGAGAGTGAACACTGCGTGTTCAGGAACCAGAACGGGTCGGTGACGCTGGTTCCACTCTGCGGCGCTCAGTGTTCGGTTAACGGAGTTCAGGTGATGACTCCGACGCAACTCAACCAAGGTGAGAAACACCAGGTGACTAGTTGTGATGGTTGGGGTCATGAGAAGCTGCCGGTTCTAAACCCTGCACGTTGGCTCCAGGCCCAGTGGACCCTCAGATCTGAACTAACAGGTGTCTGAGTTTCCTTCAGACCCGACGGGTCTCTGATGAAAATTTGTCCTCCTGTCTCTGGCCCAGGTGCCGTGGTCCTGCTCGGCAGAACCAACATGTTTCGCTTCAACCATCCAAAGGAAGCGGCCAAGCTGAGGGAGAAGCGGAAGGTGAGTCCCGGGCCTTCTCTCAGGTTCTGGACTTTCTGTAGAAGTTCTCAGACGTTCCTGTCTCCTCAGAGCGGCCTGCTCTCCACGTTCAGCCTGTCCATGACGGATCTGTCCGAGTCCTGTGAAAACCTGTCCACTGTGATGCTCTACAACCCGGGGTGAGTCTCAGACCAGCATCTGCCGCATGAGCTGATCTCCTCTCCATCAGAGCTGTGCTGCTAGACCCAACCCATTCAGTTCAGATAGCCGGGCTGGATCAGACAGAACCTCCTTGTCCAGGAAGGCGCTAGGCAGGGTGGAGCTGGGTGGGGCCGAGCTTTAGGAAGGGCTGGGCAGGGCTGCACGGGGAGCTTATGGAGGTGAGGAAGGGGCGCAGGGCAGAGGTGAAAGTGACGAGGCATCAGTGGGGATTGAAGTGCAGCGGGGCGGAGCTTGAGAAGATTCTGGGGCGAGGAATCGTTCTGTGGTCTGAATGAATCAGATGATGAAACCTCTTGAGGAGGATCTAACGCTGTCCCACCCTGTCCTGTTGACAGTCTCTTCACTGAGAAGGGCCCCGTCTTCCTCAGGTAGACCCAGTTGTCCACTTCCTGTCTAACTGTCCAGTTTTGACCCAAAGACGTCTGTAACTTGTCCCGTCTCCACCTCCACCCTGGATGTCTGTCAGTTGGCTGCTTCTGTCCTCAGATCCTCATCGTCTTTTTTGTTTTTTTGCCTGAAACTTTCTTTGAAGCTTGTTTTTGTTTGCTGCTTTCACCATGCTTCACCATGTCCACTCAGTGTCCTTTTGTTTGGTTATGGTGACAAAAGTTGATGGAGATGTTTGCTGTTCCAGGTTGGAGTTTGAAAGGCAGCAGAGAGAGGAGCTGGAGAAACTGGAGATGAAGAGGTACCAGATGTTCACCTTTAACCTCTCATTTGACTCATTTTGTCTGAAGTCCTGAAGCAGAACCAGACAAGCTTCTTGAGAGGAACCCAGTGGTTCAGAAAGACCACCATCAAGGACCTGGATCTGGTTTAAGCCAGTAGAAGCACAGCACATTCTGGACCACCTTATCTAGAGTGGCTGCAGTGGTGGATCTCTACGACAGCAGTCTGAAACAAGAGCTGGAAGTTAATTTTACTGATGTAGAACAGAAATAGGACCCACAAGAACAGTCAAGGAAGAACTAGACCTCCGTCTAAACTTCACCTGTGTGTTTAAAGAGACCAGGGGTCTTATTTATCAAACATGGCGTAGAGTCCGTACTAAAACCGTACTTAAGCTCAGCAACAAAAAAAGTACTTACGCCAAGCAGGTGTGTGATCTATCAAACATGGAGGACGCACAGCTGCACGCGATCCCCGCTTCATAAATCAGAGACTAACCAGAATGTTTCTCAGCTGCTTTTTAGTCACATCCCGCCCTCGCCACGCCCACTTACTGCCATAAATGGTCAATGCAAAGTGCCTTGTGGACCTCATGCATACGCATAAGCCGGCTGTTGCAGCATTGAGTGCGGGAATGCTTTCAGAACTAATGATCAAAAAATAATGGAACATAAAATTTCCGTAACAGTTGGTTTTAGCACCAGTTGTGTGAAGAAGCTGTTTTTCCACCGACATAATTACATACTGGATAAATAAAATTTGTGGATGAGAAACACATTTGGGTGACTGAGACATCCGTTCTGCCACTAGATGCTGTGCGTGCGCACAGTCAGAGATGTTCTTGCATTTAGGAACGTTTCTACGCTCATTCAGAATGATTAATACCACACAATGAGTTTAATTGTTCCTACACACGAAATACACACAGATTGTAAATGGCCTGTATTTAATTGGGAGTGCTGGAACCCCCCCAAGGCGCTTTACTACACACACATTCACACACTGGTGGGGATGAGCTACGATGTAGCCACAGCTGCCCTGGGGCGCGCTGACAGAGGCGAGACTGCCGAGCACTGGCGCCACCGGTCCCTCCGACCACCACCAGCAGGCAACGTGGGTTAAGTGTCTTGCCCAAGGACACAACGACAGCGACAGACTGAGCGGGGCTCGAACCTGCAACCTTCTGATTACGGGGCGAGCGCTTAACTCCTGTGCCACCGTCGCCCAGTTCTGTGTGCAAGTGCGTTTCATAAGTGAGGCCCCAGGTCTCAGGGATGTTTCATGGGTACAGTGGGGTAAGAAAGAAAGAAAAGGAGACCACTGAGTCCACTGATCTCAGGCTCAGGGGGAGAGAGGTCCAGAGTCTGGGGGCCACAGCAGCAGATGATCTGTCACCTTTGACCTTTAGTCTGGTGCTGCACAACCAGTAGGCTTTGATCACTGGACCTCAGGGACCTGCTGGGGGTGTAGGGACTAAGAAGATCACCAATGTAAGATGGTGCTTGTCCATGTAAGGCCCTATAGACCAGAACCAGGATCTTGAGATGAACCCTGAAGTTGACTGGCAGCCAGTGAAGCTGGAGGAGAAGCGGGGTGATGTGGGTGTGTTTGGAGGACTTGGTCAGAAGCCGAGCACAGGCGTTCTGAACCACCTGTAGACGGTTCAGGGAGGTTCTGCTCAGACACGTGAAAAGAGAGTTACAGTAGTCTAAGCGTGAGGAGATGAAGGTGTGGAGAACTGTCTCAAGTTCAGAGCGGGACAGAATGGGAGTCAGCTTAGCAACGTTCCTGAGATGGAAGAAGGAAGAGCGAACAAGAGAACTGACATGAGAATCCAGGGTGAGAGCTGGGTCAAAGGTCATGCCAAGATTCCTGACAGAAGGTTGTTTAGTGGAAAGAGGAGAAACCCAGAGCCTTGGGGCACTCTGAAGAGGGGATGGAACATCTAGCCCCAGGCTACTTGTCTAGTCCTGGACCCAGACTACTCATCTAATCTCAGATTACCCGTCTAGCTCCAGGCTATCCATCTTAAAGGTGCATTATGGAAGTTTGACAGCCAAAACATGTATAGAAATAATAAATGTCTTCTTCATACGTTCTCCTGCAATGCCCTGGTCCTGTAGAATGAGCCCTGGCATTTTTACTGTGATTGCCTGTTTTTCTGTAAAATCACAGAAAAAGAGAGATGCTCGGGTCGAGCAGGCTGCTTCATGCGCGTTCACGCTCAGGCATCGCCCGTAGCATTTGCTATCCGTAGCTTTAGCAGCAGAGAGAGAGGCAGTGCCACTTTGTCGCTGTTCCTAACGCCTAGTGACAAAGCTAGCTACATTTCTGAGGACCCTTAGCTACTTTCTGTACAACTTTCTTCTAGATATTTCCTGCAAATTAGCAACAAAACAGCCATTTTCACTCCGAACCGTCCTTTGGTTTGACGTTGTTTCAGCTGTCATCAAGGATATAAATGTTACAGATACACATGATGCCACTGGTGCTTTAGCTCACCTAGTAAGATGTCTGACTCTCATGCAGAAGACCTGGGTTTGATTCTGGATGTGAACATAGTTTATTTAGAGTTTCTTTTTAGCATTAATGGTATTTTTTTTACAGTAAGACGCCCAAATTTTTATTTGAGACTCACCGAACGGCATTGAATTCACAGATAAAAAGATGTGGGTTCAACTTTCATTTTGGAACAATTTTTCAAGCAAGGGAAGGGAATGATCTGAGCATGCAGGAGGACTGACCCATCATAAACCTTTGTCGGCTGTGCTGAAGAGAAAGGTACAGAACCACATTATTTAATTAGCTGCCTGTCCTCTGTCCTCCGGGCCACCCACACACACACACACACACACACACACACACGGGACTGTCTCAGCTGTTATTTCTGTTAAGGAGTGTGCACGTACAGCATGCGCGCCTCGTGCACGAGCCTACTATTGAAGCTGCCGTTATGCTTTTGGCCTGAGGGGGCGATCGCGAGCATAAAACTTCAAAACTCGGTAAAGTCCCTTTAAGCATCAAACAAACCTGAGGTCCTAAACTGATCTCCATCCCTCTTCGTCGACAGCATTTTTGTTAGAAAACTTTCAGAAGTCTTTAGAAATCTGGGCAAGTTGTCACCTTGACCAGAATTTAGTTTTTAATTAAAACCAGAAGATGCACATTTGAGGATAATCTAGTAATCCCGGTCAGAATGAACTCGGGGGAACTAAAGTGAGTCTTCGTCAGAAGTTGATGGATGGTTGTACCATGTGACCATGTTGTTTTATCTTTTGGCTGGATTTCTGCTCCTGCAGGAGGCTCATCAAAGACATGGAGGCCAAACACCTGAGTGAGAAAGCGGAGCTAGAGCGCCTCCAGCAGGAGGTCGAGAGTCAGCGGAAGGAGTCGGAGGAAGTCCAGCAGCGGATTCTCCGTCAGGAGGAAAGCCTTCGTCACCGTAGTCAGGACATTGAGAGCCGCCTGCAGGACTTCTTGGCTGAGAAGGAGCGCTTTGAAGAGGAGAGACGATCTGAGATCCAGGGGGCGGAGCTTCAGTGCAGGAGGCATTGGAAGGAGCACCGGGAGAAAGAGGAGGAGCAACAAAACAAAGTGAAGCGGTGGCAGCAGCAGGCTGCAGAGCAGCCGGAGATCTATCGTGAGCTGGAACGACTGAAGAGGGAACGTGAGGAACAGAAGGTTCGTATGGAGACGGAGCGGCGGAGGCTGGAGGAGCAGGAGAGGGAGCAGCTGAGCCTGGTGGGGAGACTGGAGGAGCAACTGAGGGAGAAACATGAGGCAGCCAGCGCCTTGCTGGCACGGGAGGATGCCCGGCGTTTGGAGGATGAGCGTCAAGCTCTGGCTGAGATCAGGGAGGTCCTCCTTCGAGCCAAGGAGGCAGCGGAGCGGTCAGATGTGGAGGATGCCGGCAAGGAGGGCAAGTGCGCCCACAATCGCTACATGGATTTTAAGGAGGCTCAAGTGAAGGAGCTGTGCCAGCTTGTGGAGGGGCTTAGACAGCAGAGGGAGCGCCTCGAGAAGGAGGTTGCTTCTGAGCGGAGCAGTCTCCTGCTCCTCGCCCACAGCCTGAAGGAGAGACCGCAGCAACAGAAGGAGGTGCAGGAGAAGGGTGTGCAGAATTCCACCACCACCTGCCAGGAGGAGCTGCAGCTTAAACAGATGGAGCACCGACTGCAGTTTAAGGAGCAACAGCTCGCCAACCTGGCCGAAGACCTCCTCCCTACTCTGGCCGAGGAGAAGCAGAAAGCCATGGAGGTGCTGGAGCGGAGCAGGAGCAACGGGACCTGTGACGGTCCATCAGGACTGGACACCATCCTGTTCCAGGTGGAGAAGGAGCTGGAAGAGAAAGAGGAGAAGCTGCACCTCCACTGGCACAGCGCCCAGCAGCTGCAGCAGCTCCAGGAAACGTACGAGTTCACCACCAACGTGGCTCGGCAGGAGGACAAGGTGAGGAGGAAGGAGAAGGAGATCTTGGAATCCATGGAGAAGCAGCAGAGGGAGGCGATGGAACAGGCAGTGGCCCGGCTGGAGAGGAGGCACTCTGCTCTGAGGCACAGCACCTCCCTGGAACTGGACACTGAGGAGCAGAGACCCAGTAGTTCACTGACAAGAACCACCAGGACAGAAGCTGATCCGGACCAGCAGAGGTCCGCATCCACAGAACCGAGTTCTAGGTAACGAGACGGTGGAGCTCAGAGTCTGTTTGTTTCCGCAGAGTCGAGCGTGAAATCCAGAAACTCCGTCAGAGGATCGTCGAAGGAGACGACAGGAGCGGCCAAACCCAGAGCCTGAACACGCCACTGTCAGACGACAGGTACCATGACCCGGTTCTCTTCCTCCTGCAGGAAGTTCTGTTGCATCCTAAACCTCTTGATTCTCACAGGATCAACGCCTACATCGAAGAGGAAGTGCAGCGGCGGCTTCGTGAGATGAACCTTCTGAACGGCGGCAGCAACATGAACCTGTCCGTGTCCCGCGAGTCCGTCAGAGTAAGATTCTAGTACCTGAAAGGTTCTGTTGGAGAAGCGGGTCTGGGTTGGGTTAATGAAAAACAGAACTTTGGAACTGCTAGCTCTGGAGCCTTATTCTGTCCTCTCCAGGTTGGGTTAGCTGCTTCAGACGAAAGCACCTGATGAACATGAATCTAAAGGTTTTGTCTCTAGAAGCTGAAACATTAAAATCTCTGATAGGACTGGGCAATAAATCAAGATTTTTAAAATATTGATGTAATTTCTAACAACCAAGATGACTCGGTAACGTTCATATTGATATAAATTAGGGACGCACCAAAATTTCAGCCACTGAAATTTTTGGCCCGAAAACGACCCAGAAGTGCATTTTCAGTTTTCAAACTCTATAAAAAGTCAGAAAACTTCAACAGAAACGCCCAAAATTGTTGCTCATATTGAAGTTCCACATCTCCACCATCTTCTGGTGTAAAATGCTAACTTTACCAGGGATTATATTTGCAGCTGTGGCTCCTTAAACGCAATATTACGACTTTAGCGTGCAAAGAGCTAATTTTACGGTCTTCAGCAGGCATTTGTTAGAAGTAGGGTTGGGCATCGTTTGATTTTGAACGATTCCAATTCCAATTCCTTGTTTCGATTCCCGATTCTGATTCTTTGAAGACATGACATGTTTATATGAGCCAGCTAACCACAGGTCCTACTGGATGAAATAATCTTAACTCCAACATGAATTTTAACTCTATGAACAACATCATCACCTTCATTTAGACAAAAACGTGTTTTGGAGACAAAAGAAGGCGACTTGCAGCACAACCAGTGTGTTTGTTTCTGACCACAACCAAAGTGTGGGAGAAGCCTCTGGGATGAGAGGCTAAATGTCTCCAACATATCCAGAAACGTCCAGCTGTTTTCAGCTAAAACTCTCAGGATGATCATGTCCAGGATGACTGAGAACTACACCTCCATGCTGCAGCAGCGTTCAGTCACAACAGGAAGTGAAACTTAAACGTGGCTGCTGTCTGTAACAATCTAACAGGTTTAAACATTAAAACTCAACAGAATTAGTTCAGAAAGGAAATTAAACCTAACCCATTTTCACTCCGAGCCGTTCTTCTGTTTGACGTTGTTTCAGCTGTCATCAAGGATATAAATGTTAGATACAGAGGATGTCACTGGTGCTTTAGCTCACCTAGTAAGATGTCGGACTCTCATGCAGGAGACCCGGGTTTGATTCTGGATGTGAACATAGTTCATTTAGAGTTTCTTTTTTACATTAATATTTTTTTACAGTAAGATGCACAAATTTTTATTTGAGACTCGCCGAACGGCATTGAATTCACAGATAAAAAAGATGTGGGTTCAACTTTCATTTTGGAACAATTTTTCAAGCAAGGGAAGGGAATGATCTGAGCATGCAGGAGGACTGACCCATCATAAACCTTTGTCGGCTGTGCTGAAGAGAAAGGTACAGAACCACATTATTTAATTAATTAGCTGCACGTTCTCCTGTCCTCCGGGCCACACACACACACACACACACACACACACACACACACACACGGGACTGTCTCAGCTGTTATTTTCATTAAGGAGTGTGCACGTACAGCATGCACGCCTCGTGCACGAGCCTACTATTGAAGCTGCCGTTACGCTTTTGGCCTGAGGGGGCGATCACGAGCATAAAAATTCAAAAGTCCGAAAAGTCCCTTCAAGGTTAGGATTAGGTCAGCGTTGGTTATGGTTAGGGTTGGGGTATGGGTTAGGCGTGGTGACATCACAAAAATAAATGGAAGTCAATGGAGGGTCCTCAGTATGATAGAAAGACGTGTGTGTGTGTGTGTGTGTGGCTTTATTTATATAGCACATTTGAAATACAGCGTGAGAGCTGACCAACGTGCTGCACGGCAGGTTCATTAAAAACAAAATAAGACAGAAAAAACAATAAAAGTAAAACCATCAATGCAAGGCAGTAAAAACGAGTCTCTGGCTAAAGGCCAGGCCTTAAGTAGGTCTTTAAATGAGATTTTAAAACAGCCAGAGGTCTATACTGGTGGTCCATATCGCCCAGCCCTAATCTCAGATTGAGGAGAGTCGTGCTTTAGTGAAGCTGCTGTGGTGATGTCATTTGGTCTGGAGGTCTGACCTGTAGCTCTTCAACCTGCAGGAGGAGGAGGAGGTTAGCGACTGTAGCTCTGTTAGACCAGGACCCTTCAGCTCTGGAATCCTGCTTGACTCCTCCAACCTCCCTCTGATCGTCCTCTGGGACTGTTCTTATCCTGGTTTGATTTAGTCCTGATTCAGCTGGGTTCCCCTTTAACAGCAACAATGATAACTCATGACTTTTCCTACTGAAAAGCAGTAAGTCTTGCTCCAGTTCTCTGTGGGATGTTTATCTTCGGTGTTTTTATTTCCAGGAGGAGGAGAAGCTGCAGAACCTGAACCCGAGGAGGCTTAAATATGAGGTAAGACCCGGATCTAGTTCAGCTACTGGAATCAGGAATCCTGCGCCGTGATCGCTGGTTTAGGATCATTTAGCGGCTTGTCTTTAACACGTTATTAATCTGAACGTGATTCTTTAATTCATAATCCAGATTTTGGTTTTTAATGCGAACTGAAACCATACGCTGCTCTGTGGACCAGAGAGTTACTGAATCACTTCATTTTATTTATCTAAACGGTCGGCCTAATCTGCATGTCCAATCTCCACACGATAATCTCTGATCTCACCTGGTGGTTTAATCCGGTTTGGGTGGATTCTGCACCATTCAAGTCCTCCTTGATGATGTAATCTCAGACCCCCCCCCCCTTCACTTGTGCTCACAGAAAGCCTGCTGGCCTAACTTCTCGGCCTCCCTAGACTTGGAGACGAGCTCTTCCAATGTCCAAGAGAACCTTTTAGAAGAAGCAGAGCAGGATCTCCCACAGCTTCCCAAAACTCCGGAGTCCTCGGCTGAAATCCTGATTCAAAAGGATCTGGACAAAAACAGCTGGTGGAACGATGTGAACATTTTTTTAGAAGCCAAGGGTCAAACTGTTTGTGGACCAGAATGTTTCAGGAAAACTGAAGAAGGGAACAGATTTAATAAAAACAAAAATCTCTCTTCTGAAGGAAGGAACTCTTTCTGCGGCAGTTCTGATGGAAAAAAGGTGGAATTTCCTCTGAAGGAACCTCGGCTGAAGGAATGTCCTTTAGCGAAATCTCCTCTGGAGGAATGGCAGCCCTCATGTTCTGGAAAAGTCAAAAATCCAGAAGGTGATCCACAAGAAGAACCAGAACCTTTTGAATCCCTGAGCAGAGATGATGTTGGCTCCAAGCAGAGTTCAGAAGAGAACATAGATGTTCTGAGGAAGGAAGAAGATCTCTTTTCGGAGATTCAGAACCTTGATTTGGATAAGTTTGTGATCCAGAACCAAACGTTTGACCTGGAGTCTGAGGATGAAACGTCGTCGTCACGGAGCTCTGGAACAGATTTCAGCGAGGAGCTGAAGATCATTAATGGTTCTGTTGAAGAAGACTGGGAGGCAAAGAAGGTGTCGATGAGCAGGAGCTACATCTGGAGGTACTTGGATAAAACTCCAAAACTCCAACCATGGACTGAAAAAGGATCCGAACCCTCAGAGTCACTGAGGGAATGGGCCCACTCAAAACAGGATTCTGAGTCCAATCAAGGAAAAGAAGCTCCGGCCAGCAGGAGCTACATTTGGAGATACATCACACAAGTCCGGAACCAAACACTCTACCCATGGAGAACAGAACCCAAACTTTCTGGGTCATTGGATTCTGGTTCTGACCAACTCTTCCCCAAGCAGGGTACAACGGCTGCCAATGAAGAACCTGGACCAGAAACTGAGAGTGGTCCAGTCAGCAGGAGCTTGATTTGGGACTATGTCAGAAAGGTCAAGGACCAAACGCTCTACCCATGGAGGTCAACAACTTCCAGAGATCTGAAGTCCCAGAGCTCTGAAGGAGCATACATCAACCTAAAGCAGGATTCAAAGTCTGTCACAGAACCAGTGGGTCCAGAACAAGATGAAGCCGCAGAAAAGGTCTCACTCAGCAGAAGTTACATTTGGGACTACGTGGAAAGAGTCAAAAACCAAACGCTCTACCCATGGAGAATGCAGGAATCGGAACTTTCCTGGGGCTGGCCAGTTGACCCATCACTGGAATCTTGGAGGTTTGGGAGGGACCCCATCCAGGCCAGTAAAGACTACCTTCTAAGTTTCTTGTCTGGGAAACTTTCTGAGGCATTCCGGGAGGCAGAGGTACGACTCCAAGGCACATGGAACCTCATTCAATCCAGAGAACCGATTCATCAAACTCCTCTTCAGCTGCTGCCAGAACCTCCGGCTGAAGATAAAGTCCAATTGGATCTGGGGAGTGATGGTTCTCCTCAGGGTTTTGGTCATGCTGCCATTTCCGGATTTTCTGAATGGCCAGAAGGTTCTGTAACTTCAGTCAAGACGTCGAGCCCAGAAGAGTTCCACCAAAGGCTGATCGAGCTGCCATTGGCTTTGTCTCAGCTTCAGGGTCTCTCATCTGAGAAGATCCTGGAAAACATGGAATCCCTGGCTGGTCAGAGAGAACTTGGAGAGATTCTGAGCATCTTCTGGGTCAAGACAGCCAGCTATCAGAAACCCATTCCAGAACCTGTTTGTCTACTTGTGTCAGAAATGAGCCTGGTGGTGGTTTCAGCTGGTACCGGACCTGAAGACTCCTCAACTCTTTTCCATCATTTTGACCTTCTGGAGATCAAGGAGGTGCAGATCAGTCTGGCAGGCCAGCATGTTCGTCTGCTTGGCAGCAGTGAAGATTCGGTTTTGGCAGTCTTCACTTACAACAAAGAGCTGACCCAGGAGTTCTGCAAGGTTTTGCTGAAGGCGCGTGCTCCTGACCAGTTCTCTGAGGTGTCTGAAAGTCACCCATTGTTCTCTGGTGACCTCATGGCCCTCTCCTTAGATTGGACCTCCAGTACTCCTGACATCACCTTGGAGAGTGGTCTTTACATCACTTCTAGATTCAAACGGGTCCTTGCAGACCTGATCTACGTCATCCACGAGAACATGGAGGGTCCAGAGAAGCCTTCTCTGGCTGATGTTCATCCTCTGCTCTACACCAGCGTCAAGCTGAGGAAGTCCAGTGGAGTCCAACTGGAAGAGACCATCTTCCAGTTCCTTCTGACCGACACTCATGTGGCTCTTCTTCAGGAAGATGGAGTCTTTCATCCGGTTCCACGAGGATCTAGTCTGGTTCCTGCCCAGCCCCAGTTCCAGGGACTCAAAGTCAGCAGGCGTTCAGATGTCAGGTGTCTGCTTGTGAGGAGGGAGGACAACTGCGTCTCCATCGACATCCTGTTCATGAACCTGCACAAACGGAGCGGCGAGGCTGACGGGACCTCCTCCAGTGCTCCGGACTCCTGGAAACTGGTTTTCAGCTGTTCCTCAGAGGCCCAGGTCCTGATTAATCACCTGTGTCTCTGAGTCCGTCTCACCTGAGCTGTTCCTGGATGTAAAATGTTCAGGTTTTTTTGTTTGTTTGTTTTTAAAAACATTTTTACCTTTTTTCTTAACTTTTCACTGAGATGAACTAATAAACATGTAGATTTTATGCGATTGTAAAGTTTTATTGTTTTTGTTTAGAGTCACCTGGTAAACATCATAACTGTTCTGTCTTTATAACTTTAAGGAAAACATCTTAATAAAGCTTGAGTTTCATTTTAAATCTCCGTGTCGTTTCCTCATTCTGGAGGTTTTAATGAAATGAGTCTAAAATGTGTGTCTGAGTCAAACTTTCCCATCTCCTCTTCTCTTTCTTCCTGTTCCTCTTGACCTCTGCAGCACTTGGTGTTCCGACCCACCGGGTCGAGCTACGACGGCGTCCAGGAGTCCGTTAAAATTAGCATTCCTCGTTATGTTCTCCGCGGACAGGGCAAGGACGAGCACTTTGAGTTCGAGGTGAAGGTGAGTTCAGCATCGCCTGAATGTAGAAATGGGTTTCTGTCCTCAAAGAAAAGGTTCTAGAGAACTTCTTAAATTAGTCCTGAAGCAAAACGACAGTCCTGACCCTACAGCAACAATAAATCACCCAGAATTCGTCTAAACCAGCAGAACTGCTTCCAGGAACCGGTGTCTCGTCAGAGCGATGCTTATTAAAGCTCCAATACACGCGCTTTTTCAATCTCTCGTATAAATGAATGCCTTGTGAGTTGTTCTCTGTGGAGAAGACCTCTGACGCTCCTGCTGGGTATCCGCCAGCCCTTAAAAAGTCTTAAATTAGCTTTTCCAAATTTATGGCCTTAAAAATCCTTAAAAATGATAATCATTAAACAGTTTCCAGAGGTCTTAAATTACCGATGACCCAATAAACAAGATTCTTTTATTTCTATAAAATTTTCGTGAATTTCTAGTTAGAATTCAGCGTTTTTTGTGTACGACGTTGGCGTAAGCGGAACCGTACACGTTCAGTTGGTTGTGAAAGGGGGCTATTTTTAGATGAGCACGTTAGCTGGTTAAGCTAGTGGGAGCTTGCGCCGTGGGGAAGTGCAAGTTTAACGGTAACTGGATGGCTAATCCCACGATCGCGGCGTGGTTAGCACCGGTTCCAGGCAATAGCTGGAAATTATAGCTTAAAACTTGTATAGCGCCTGTCAGAGTAAAGACTCCAAAGCGCTTTACACTACAGTGTATCATTCATCCATTCACACACACATTCACACACTGATGGTGATGAGCTACGATGTAGCCACAGCTGCCCTGGGGCGCACTGATGGAGGCAACGCTGTCGAGCGCTGGCGCCACCGGTCCCTCCGACCACCACCAGCAGGCAAGGGTTAAGTGTCTTGCCCAAGGAAACAACAGCAGCATTCTCTGTCCAGAGCTGGGATTGAACCTGCAACCTTCCGATTACTGGACAACCCGCTCATCCTGTTGAGCTACTGCTGCCCTGCTTAAATAGCTTAAATTTGGTCAAAGTGGCCTTAAAAAAGGTCTTAAGTCTTAAATTTGGCTCCCTTAAACCTGCAGATACCCTGTCCTGTTTCAGGAAGTAGGAATTATCCAGAGGAGTGGGGGCAGAAAATGGTAGGATTAGGAGTCCGATGTTTTTATTCATGATATTTGGACATTTTACCTCTGATTAGCTAACAGCAGAGCAACTTTCACTGACTGTTCTCGCTAACGTTGATCGCCAAAATAACACCAGCCTGAAGGAGTGGCTAATGGTTAGCTCCTATTTGCAAAGATTTGCGGCCTGGCTGCAAAAACCAACAGCCTTCCCAGGTGTGAGCCAGTGAGTGTTTCCATGAATGAAATAATTTGAACAAATAACGACTACACGTAAGCAGTAGTCTGGAATTGTAACCTTCGACCAAAAAAAGCCACGAATAAAAAGACAAACTTGGGTTCCAACACTATGCAGCATACTGCAAGAGACAAGGAAGTACTATGTAATCTGGTATTGAATGAGTACTGAACACATACTGAGTATTGCATTGACGTCATTGTGTAGGCCAGGGGTATTCAGTTCCGGTCCAGGAGGTCCGGTATCCAGCACATTTTAGTGATTTCTCTGATTCAACACACTTGTGCAGCAGCTCATCAGGCTCTGCAGAAGCCTGTTAATCATCTGCTCAGGCTTGTTGAAACAGAATTAAAACCAAAACGTGCTGGATACCGGACCTCCAGGCCTGCTTTAGGCTCACATGGATGATGGGTTTTGCTCTAGGAGCCGGAGGAGAGGCTCAGGGGAAATATCCATCCATCCATTTTCCTTCGCTTCTCCGGGTCAGAGAGCGAGGCCCAGACTTCCCTCTCCCCAGCAGCGTTCATTGTGACAGGATATTTTAATTTGGTTTGTCTTTGGAAACGTTAACTACACCTACTAAAGAAATATGAAAATAGTTTTCAGGCGTATCAGTTTTCCCTGCACTAATTTACCAGGTTAACGCCAGTTTCTCCTCACTAAAAACCCGTTGGAACACAGAAAGCTGATATCGACCGTAGCGGCACCACCAAAACGCTTAAACAACCAGCCGTGTTGCGTTCGACTCCTCCCAGCCCTGCTTGGCGCTACCACCGTAACACTTACAACCCAGGGAAACCCCAGATGTGTACATCGTCACATCCAATGCTGTTCCTCCAAGCCATGGACATTTTCTCCTCTTAGACATAAATTGTTCAACTGTCACCGGGTGTTATGTTGGTATCTGTTCCCTCCTCGAGATCGGTTTGCACCCAGCTGCGAGGAGAAACTACCCACCCACAAGAAATGGCTCTCACCCTAACCATAACCACCCTGTCACCAAATATGTTTGTTTTTGCATAATTATAGTTTTTGAAAGTATTAAGTGTAGCACCATTTTTATGTTTGTTTCTGGGTAAGAGTTAGGGACAAACATTTTTTGTGAGTGGATAGTTGAAACTCGCCGCTGGGTGCAAAAGAAACCGATCTGGAGGGGGAACAAATATCGACGCAACACCAGCATAAACGTCTGTGGTCACCTGTAGCTTGTTTAAGTAGCAGCCTGCTCCAAACTGGTTATTTTTTCAATTAAATTCAATTCAAGTTTATTTATATAGCACCAAATCACGACAAGAGTCGTCTCAAGTCACATCACATAATAAACATTCCAGTACAGGTCAGGTCATTAAGCCAATCAGAAATAATGTTTCCTAAATAAGGAACCCAGCAAATTGCATCAAGTCACTGACTAGTGTCAGTGACTATACAGCAATCCTCATACTAAACAAGCATTTAGTGACAGTGGAGAGGAAAACTCCCTTTTAACAGGAAGAAACCTCCAGAGGATCCTGGCTCAGTATAAGCAGCCATCCTCCACGACTCACTGGGGATGGAGAATACAGAGCAGACACACACACACACACACACACACACACACACACACACACACACACACACACACACACACACACACACACACACACACACACACACACACACACACACACACACACACACACACACACACACACACACACACAGCAATGTGTCTATAGTTATATTGTGATTTCTTAGTAAATATTCTATTTGGTGAGAGATAAACTTTATTGTATTTATCCTAGTGGATCTATAATTAAACGGGTAAACTAGTAGTAGCACATCCAACGTCAAGGAAAGCAAAAAGTTATTATCAGGAGAGGGAGAATGTTTAAGTGGTTAGCAGCAGTGTGCTAGACCAGTGGTTCCCAACCTTTTTCCCAAGGGATCCCGTTTTTTACCAGTAAAATTTCTGACGACCCCCTCCCATTCTCTCTTCCAGTACAAACATTATTAAGAAATGATAAAATTGTTCATGCACATTTTAATATGCTTTGATTCAATAGATAACAGTAATAGTAGACTCCAGTACAGAACAAAGTCATTAACAAAACCAAACAGAGCATAATGTGCTTGACAGTTTGGATTACTTTTCTGAACACATTGTTTCTTGTAAACTCTGATAAATAAATCATTCCTTTCAATAAACGTTTGACACATAAAAAATCCACTGAGCAAAATGTACTTAAATGTGTATATTACTGTTTATACTAGATTATTTACTGTAAAGGCTGTGATTAATCAACCAGTCCTATCTTTAATGAACATTTGACACTTGAAAATAAAACAGTGAGCTGAGCAAAATGTTCTTAAAAGTGTGTTACTCTTTCTGTACTAATTATTTCCTGTCTTAATATCAGTAAACTTTTCACTCATGGAAAAAAAAGTGAGCAAAATGTAGGCTATAAATCAGTAATAAATGAAGTTTTAACCCCTTGAAGTGGAGAGGTCCTGGCGACCCACTGAGAGGCTTTGGCGCCCCCTTGTGGGGGTCGGGACCCCCAGGTTAGGAACCACTGTGCTAGTCGATGGCCCCCTCCATGAGGCCACCACAGCTCAGCAGAACATCGTTGTAGCTTATTCTGGGGAGAAAAACAGAGAAAATAAAGTTAACAGCTGAAATAGCAGGAAATAATACAGTTAAAGAGCAGATTGTAGAAGAAAGCAGTAGAGTGTGAAAAGTGGTCAGTGTGTCCTCCAGCAGTCTAAGCCTATAGCAGCATAACTACAATGATAACTCTGGATAATCTATCCTATTTAGATGGAGGCATGTTGGAGTCAGGGCAAGGGAGAGCCGTCTTTACCGACTGTACACTCCACCTCCCTCTACTCCCCCACTTGTCCAGATTTAGGCTAACATCAGATTTTAACTATAGGCCCTTTCAAATAAAAATGTTTTAAGCCTATTCTTAAAAGTAGACAAAGTGTCTGCCTCACGGACTAAAGCTGGGAGCTGGTTCCACAGGAGAGGAGCCTGTCGTCTAGTCCTGCCTGTTCCGTTTTCTGATTGGCTCTTTTTTTTTTTGTTCTCCCATCTTCTCCGTTTTCTGATTGGATTTTCATTACTTTCAGTTTTTATCTTCTATTTGTCGACAAAAATATTCATCAATATTCGACTCACTTAAGGGAAAGATTGCCTATTTACATCATAGAACCGTGGCATTCAGGCATTTTTGAGGTTATCTTCATATTTTAAACAGCGAACCCCAGCTTCACACGGATTCAACTTGTAAGAAGTGAGACAGCAGAGCAGGGAGGTCAGCGGGAGTCCA